TGTTCGTATTTGTATTATCTATTGATTGGCGTAATAAAATTAAAGAAAAAACAAAATTTTTTCCAGCTCCAAAAATAATGAAATATCAACCCCTCTCTAAAATCTTTATTTCATATACAGCATTCAAAATGGAATAAAGAAAAGTTGTTTGTATTTGTATTATCTATCGATTGGCTTAATAAAATTAAAGAAAAAACAAAATTTTTTCCAGCTCCAAAAATAATGAAATATCAACCCCTCTCTAAAATCCTTATTTCATATATAGCATTCAAAATGGAATAAAGAAAAGTTGTTTGTATTTGTATTATCTATTTTTTGGCGTAATAAAATTAAAGAAAAAACAAAAACTTTTCCAGCTCCAAAAATAATTAAATATCAACCCCTCTCTAAAATCCTTATTTTATATATAGCATTCAAAATGGAATTAAGAAAAGTTGTTTGTATTTGTATTATCTATTGATTGGCGTAATAAAATTAAAGAAAAAACAAAATTTTTTCCAGCTCCAAAAATAATGAAATATCAACCCCTCTCTAAAATCTTTATTTCATATATAGCATTCAAAATGGAATAAAGAAAAGTTGTTTGTATTTGTATTATCTATCGATTGGCTTAATAAAATTAAAGAAAAAACAAAATTTTTTCCAGCTCCAAAAATAATGAAATATCAACCCCTCTCTAAAATCCTTATTTCATATATAGCATTCAAAATGGAATAAAGAAAAGTTGTTTTTATTTGTATTATCTATTGATTGGCGTAATAAAATTAAAGAAAAAACAAAATTATTTCCAGCTCCAAAAATAATGAAATATCAACCCCTTTCTAAAATCTTTATTTCATATATAGCATTCAAAATAGAATAAAGAAAAGTTGTTTGTATTTGTATTATCTATCGATTGGCTTAATAATATTAAAGAAAAAACAAAATTTTTTCCAGCTCCAAAAATAATGAAATATCAACCCCTCTCTAAAATCCTTATTTCATGTATAGCATTCAAAATGGAATAAAGAAAAGTTGTTTGTATTTGTATTATCTATCGATTGGCTTAATAAAATTAAAGAAAAAACAAAATTTTTTCCAGCTCCAAAAATAATGAAATATCAACCCCTCTCTAAAATCCTTATTTCATATATAGCATTCAAAATGGAATTAAGAAAAGTTGTTTGTATTTGTATTATCTATTTTTTGGCGTAATAAAATTAAAGAAAAAACAAAAATTTTTCCAGCTCCAAAAATAATGAAATATCAACCCCTCTCTAAAATCCTTATTTCATATATAGCATTCAAAATGGAATTTAGAAAAGTTGTTTGTATTTGTATTATCTATTGATTGGCGTAATAAAATTAAAGAAAAAACAAAATTATTTCCAGCTCCAAAAATAATGAAATATCAACCCCTCTCTAAAATCTTTATTTCATATATAGCATTCAAAATGGAATAAAGAAAAGTTGTTTGTATTTGTATTATCTATCGATTGGCTTAATAAAATTAAAGAAAAAACAAAATGTTTTCCAGCTCCAAAAATAATGAAATATCAACCCCTCTCTAAAATCCTTATTTCATGTATAGCATTCAAAATGGAATAAAGAAAAGTTGTTTGTATTTGTATTATCTATCGATTGGCTTAATAAAATTAAAGAAAAAACAAAATTTTTTCCAGCTCCAAAAATAATGAAATATCAACCCCTCTCTAAAATCCTTATTTCATATATAGCATTCAAAATGGAATTAAGAAAAGTTGTTTGTATTTGTATTATCTATTTTTTGGCGTAATAAAATTAAAGAAAAAACAAAAACTTTTCCAGCTCCAAAAATAATTAAATATCAACCCCTCTCTAAAATCCTTATTTTATATATAGCATTCAAAATGGAATTAAGAAAAGTTGTTTATATTTGTATTATCTATTGATTGGCGTAATAAAATTAAAGAAAAAACAAAATTTTTTCCAGCTCCAAAAATAATGAAATATCAACCCCTCTCTAAAATCTTTATTTCATATATAGCATTCAAAATGGAATAAAGAAAAGTTGTTTGTATTTGTATTATCTATCGATTGGCTTAATAAAATTAAAGAAAAAACAAAATGTTTTCCAGCTCCAAAAATAATGAAATATCAACCCCTCTCTAAAATCCTTATTTCATGTATAGCATTCAAAATGGAATAAAGAAAAGTTGTTTGTATTTGTATTATCTATCGATTGGCTTAATAAAATTAAAGAAAAAACAAAATTTTTTCCAGCTCCAAAAATAATGAAATATCAACCCCTCTCTAAAATCCTTATTTCATATATAGCATTCAAAATGGAATTAAGAAAAGTTGTTTGTATTTGTATTATCTATTTTTTGGCGTAATAAAATTAAAGAAAAAACAAAAACTTTTCCAGCTCCAAAAATAATTAAATATCAACCCCTCTCTAAAATCCTTATTTTATATATAGCATTCAAAATGGAATTAAGAAAAGTTGTTTGTATTTGTATTATCTATTGATTGGCGTAATAAAATTAAAGAAAAAACAAAATTTTTTCCAGCTCCAAAAATAATGAAATATCAACCCCTCTCTAAAATCTTTATTTCATATATAGCATTCAAAATGGAATAAAGAAAAGTTGTTTGTATTTGTATTATCTATTGATTGGCGTAATAAAATTAAAGAAAAAACAAAATTTTTTCCAGCTCCAAAAATAATGAAATATCAACCCCTCTCTAAAATCCTTATTTTATATATAGCATTCAAAATGGAATAAAGAAAAGTTGTTTGTATTTGTATTATCTATTGATTGGCGTAATAAAATTAAAGAAAAAACAAAATTTTTTCCAGCTCCAAAAATAATGAAATATCAACCCCTCTCTAAAATCCTTATTTTATATATAGCATTCAAAATGGAATAAAGAAAAGTTGTTTGTATTTGTATTATCTATTGATTGGCGTAATAAAATTAAAGAAAAAACAAAAACTTTTCCAGCTCCAAAAATAATTAAATATCAACCCCTCTCTAAAATCCTTATTTCATATATAGCATTCAAAATGGAAGTAAGAAAAGTTGTTTGTATTTGTATTATCTATCGATTGGCTTAATAAAATTAAAGAAAAAACAAAATTTTTTCCAGCTCCAAAAATAATAAAATATCAACCCCTCTCTAAAATCCTTATTTCATATATAGCATTCAAAATGGAATTAAGAAAAGTTGTTTGTATTTGTATTATCTATTTTTTGGCGTAATAAAATTAAAGAAAAATCAAAAACTTTTCCAGCTCCAAAAATAATTAAATATCAACCCCTCTCTAAAATCCTTATTTTATATATAGCATTCAAAATGGAATTAAGAAAAGTTGTTTGTATTTGTATTATCTATTGATTGGCGTAATAAAATTAAAGAAAAAACAAAATTTTTTCCAGCTCCAAAAATAATGAAATATCAACCCCTCTCTAAAATCTTTATTTCATATATAGCATTCAAAATGGAATAAGGAAAAGTTGTTTGTATTCGTATTATCTATCGATTGGCTTAATAAAATTAAAGAAAAAACAAAATTTTTTCCAGCTCCAAAAATAATGAAATATCAACCCCTCTCTAAAATCCTTATTTCATATATAGCATTCAAAATGGAATTAAGAAAAGTTGTTTGTATTTGTATTATCTATTTTTTGGCGTAATAAAATTAAAGAAAAAACAAAATTTTTTCCAGCTCCAAGAATAATGAAATATCAACCCCTCTCTAAAATCCTTATTTCATATATAGCATTCAAAATGGAATTTAGAAAAGTTGTTTGTATTTGTATTATCTATTTTTTGGCGTAATAAAATTAAAGAAAAAACAAAAACTTTTCCAGCTTCAAAAATAATTAAATATCAACCCCTCTCTAAAATCCTTATTTTATATATAGCATTCAAAATGGAATTAAGAAAAGTTGTTTGTATTTGTATTATCTATTGATTGGCGTAATAAAATTAAAGAAAAAACAAAATTTTTTCCAGCTCCAAAAATAATAAAATATCAACCCCTCTCTAAAATCCTTATTTCATATATAGCATTCAAAATGGAATAAAGAAAAGTTGTTTGTATTTGTATTATCTATCGATTGGCTTAATAAAATTAAAGAAAAAACAAAATATTTTCCAGCTCCAAAAATAATGAAATATAAACCCCTCTCTAAAATCCTTATTTCATGTATAGCATTCAAAATTGAATTAAGAAAAGTTATTTGTATTTGTATTATCTATCGATTGGCTTAATAAAATTAAAGAAAAAACAAAATTTTTTCCTGCTCCAAAAATAATGAAATATCAACCCCTCTCTAAAATCCTTATTTCATATATAGCATTCAAAATGGAATTAAGAAAAGTTGTTTGTATTTGTATTATCTATTTTTTGGCGTAATAAAATTAAAGAAAAAACAAAAACTTTTCCAGCTCCAAAAATAATTAAATATCAACCCCTCTCTAAAATCCTTATTTTATATATAGCATTCAAAATGGAATTAAGAAAAGTTGTTTGTATTTGTATTATCTATTGATTGGCGTAATAAAATTAAAGAAAAAACAAAATTTTTTCCAGCTCCAAAAATAATGAAATATCAACCCCTCTCTAAAATCTTTATTTCATATATAGCATTCAAAATGGAATAAAGAAAAGTTGTTTGTATTTGTATTATCTATCGATTGGCTTAATAAAATTATAGAAAAAAAATTTTCAGCACCAAAAATATTGAAATTTCATCCCTTTAATTCCTTAATATAATTCTATAAGGGTTATTGAAAATAATTAACATTATTCTGAAGGTGTAGTAATCTTTAAACTAAAATTTAGAACGAATAATTGTTGTCGTAAAAGAATATTTTTCGACCGCTGGCGCTTTGAGCTCCGGCTGGTTTTGGAGCTGGCTGGCTAGGAGCTAACATGACACAGGTATTCCATTCTGATGTGTACACGGAATTCCATTTAAATTTACCTCTGTCTTTTTTCTTGTGTTATTTTTATGTGTGTTTTTTTACAGATGTACGGTTATCCCGGTTCCTCAAAGAGAAAACGGAATTGCAGGATCAAATTAGCCATTTAAAACTAGAATTAGAAGAAGAAAAAAGTAAACGAAGGAAACCGAGTTCGGGCGGCACCTTGAACGGACCATCCTCAGATTACGATTACGATGACATTCAAAGTAAGTACAACCATTGCAATAAAAAACCGTCCACTTCCTCAATTTTAAAATTTCTTAAATTTTCTCCGTGTCTTCTTTTAGTAGTCAATTTGTAAATTTGTAATGCACTGGAATTCCACATTACTTTTGTTTTCATTCAAAAAGTCACATTCAGATTTCCTTGACATTTCACTTGAATTCTTTATAATTATACTTATTAAATAAAAATTGTATTATTTTTTTAAATTCTTCCATTTACTTGGAATTCTTTGTATTTTTAATTAAATACTTCATAATTTTACTTCTAATTTACTAAAATTTCACAATTCTGCCTTACTTTTATTTTTTATTCATTAATTCAATTTATTACTTAGAATTCCTTGACATCTTACTTGAATTCTTTCTACTTTTAATAAACTAAAATTGCTCTTTTTTACTTGAAATTTCTTGCACTTTTATTTACAATTTACTGAAATTATATAGGACTTATTTTCACTCGAAAAATTTTACACGTTTACTTAGAATTCCTTAAATTTTTACTTTTTCACTAAAATTTCATATTAAGAAATTCTTGACATTTCATTTGTAATAAACTAAAATTTTATTTTCAGAAATAATGTCAAATTTTTACTTTAATTCTTCAGAATTTTACTTCCAATTTACTAAAATTTCACAATTCCACATTATTTTAATTTTTCTCTACTTAATGCTAATTTTACTTAACATTTCACTTGAATATTTTATCATTTTACTTTTAATAAACTAAAATAGCATTTTTTAGTTGAAATTCCTTGCGTTTTTATTTGTATTTCACTGAAATTACACAGGACTTTTATTGTCACTGAAATAATGTCATATTTACTTGGAATTCCTTGGATGTTTACTTTCACTTGAATTATGTAGAATTTTACTGGTTTTTATCGTTTTTACATAAATTTAGAAATTTACTTGAAATTCCTTGAATTTTCATTTAAATCATCAAAATTTTATTTCTAATTCACTAAAATTCCACATTACTGTTATTGTTCTTAAATTACTGCCATATTTACTTAGAATTCCTTAACATTTCACTTGATTTCTTTATAATTTTACTTATAAAAAATTTAAATTGCCTTTTTTACTTGAAATTCTTTGCACTTTTATTTATAGTTCACTGGAATTACACAGGACTTTTATGTTTATTCAAATAATATCAAATTTACTTGGAATTCCTTAAATTTTTACTTTAATTTTTCAGAATTCTACTTCCAATTCACTAAAATTTTACAATTTCACATTATTTTAATTTTTCTTTAATTAATACCAAATTTACTCAGAATTCACTTGAATATTTTATAATTTTACTTGTAATAAACTAAAATTGCATTTTTTTTACTTGAAATTCCTTGCGTTTTTATTTGCTTTTTACTGGAATTACACAGAACTTTTATTGTCACTTAAATAATGTTACATTTACTTGGAATTCCTTGAATTTTTGTTTAAATTATTCAAAATTTTATTTCTAATTCACTAAAATTCCACATTACTGTTATTTTTCTTCAATTAATGTCATATTTACTTAGAATTACTTAACATTTCATTTGATTTCTTTATAATTTTACTTGTAAAAAACTAAAATTGTCTTTTTTACTTGAAATTCCTTGCACTTTTATTTGCAATTCTATGGAATTACACAGGACTTTTATGTTTATTCAAATAATGTGACATTTACTTGGAATTCCTTGTAATTTCACTTGAATTCTGTAAAATGTTACAGGTTTTATTAGTTTCTACGTAAATTTAGCACTTTACTTGGAATTCCTTGTATTTCTCGAAGTTTTATTCAATTCTGTAGTATCCAATTGAAACTTTTGTGGTAATCACTTAATACTGCCTAATTTTTTATGCTTGCTTCTGTCTGTTACTTAAATTCTTTCATATTACATATACTAGTTAGATAACTATTCATAGATGTTACACTATCATTAAAATTCCTCAAACTAATTATTGTGCTTTTCCATGACAATTTAATATTAGAAACGTCGTATGGGGATTACTTTTACAATAATTATCCTTTCCAGGGGAAGCGAGTAAACAGCTTTCCGATTGGAAATTCCGCGCCCAAAAGGCGGAACAAGACACGGCAACGTTGCAAGCAACGGTGGCGCGACTCGAAAGCCAGGTCATAAGGTATAAGACGGCGTCGGAAGTTTCCGAGCAATCCGAAGAGGCGCTGAAAGCGGAGAAGAGGAAGCTTCAAAGAGAAGTAAGTCTCTATTTTTTTTGGGGAAATTTATTTCAAAATCGTGGTGTACATTAAGTTGCAAGAATGTTTATTTTAAAGAATATATTTTTATAGATATTTTACTGTGAATTCCTTAGATATATGGGAGTTTTACCTTGAATTTTTTTGATTTATAAGAATTTTCCTTTGTATCGTTCAATTAATGGGAGTTTTACTTTAAATTCTTTTGTTTTATAAGGTTTCTTTTAAATGTCTTTACTTAAAATCTCTTGGATCTATGAGCGTTTTTACTCTGAATTCCAGTATTTATGAGAGTTTTACTACAAATTCTTTCGTTTTATGAGAGTATTATATTAGAATTTTATTTTGAATTCTAGGGATTATTGGGGTTTGTGAGAATTTTTCTTTTTATCGTTGAATTTATGGAAAGTTTACTTTGAATTCTTTCGTTTTATAACAGTTTTCTTTTGAATTCCTTTACTTTAAATCCCTTGGATGTATGGGAGTTTTTACTTTAAATTCCAGTAATTATGAGAGTTTTACTTTAAATGTTTTCAAGAGTTTTCTTTTGAATTCCTTTATTTTAAATCCTTTGGATGTATGGGAGTTTTTACGTCGAATTTTAGTAAATATGAGAGTTTTATGTGAGATTTTTATTTTGAATTTCTAGGGATTATTGGAGTTTATGGGAATTTTACTTAAAATCGTTGAATTTATGGGAGTTTTACCTTAAATTGTTTGGTTTTATAAGTTTTGTTTTGAATTCTTTTATTTTAAATCCTTTGGATGTATGGAAGTTTTACTTTGAATTCCAGTATTTATGAGTGTTTCATATGAAAATTTTATTTTGAATTCCAGTTAATATATGGGAGTTTTACTTTAAATTCTTTTGTTTTATAAGAGTTTTTTTTGAGTTCCTTTAATTTCCTTGGAAGGATGGAAGTTTTTTACTTTGAATTCCAGTATTTATTAGAGTTTTATGTAATAATTTTATTTTGAGTTTCGAGGATTATTGGGTTTTATGGGAATTTTACTTTGTTTCGTTGGATTTCTGGGAGTTTTACTACAAATTCTTTGGTGTTATAACTTTTAAATTCCTTTATTTTAAATCTCTTGGCTAAATGGGAGGTTGTACTCTGAAATCCAGTATTCATGAGAGTACTATATGATAATTTTGTTTTAAATTCCATGGAATATCGGGGTTTATGGGAATTTTACTTTGAATCATTGAATTTGTAGGAATTTTGTTTTATAAGAGGTTTCTTTTGAATTTCTTTACTTAAATTCTCTTGAATCTATGGGAGTTTTTACTCTAAATTCCAGTATTTTTGTGAGAGTTTTACTACAAATTCTTTGGTGTTATAACTTTTGAATTCCTTTATTTTAAATCTCTTGGCTATATGGAAGTTTTTACTCTGAAATCCAGTATTTATGAGAGTACTAGTTTTATTTTAAATTCCACGGAATATGGGGGTTTGAGGGAATTTTACTATGAATCATTGAATTTGTAGGAATTTTGCTTTAAATTCTTTCGTTTTATGAGAGGTTTCTTTTGAATTTCTTTACTTAAAATCCCTTGGAAATATGGGAGTTTTTACTCTGAATTCCAGTATTTTTTATGAGAGTTTTACTTCAAATTCTTTCTTTTTATAAGAGTTTTCTTTTTAATTCCTTTACTTTAAATTCCTTGGATGTATAGGAGTTTTACTTTGAATTCCAGTATTTATAAGTGTTCTATATGATAATTGTACATTGAATTCCAGGGATTATTGGAGTTCATGAGAATTTTACTTTAAGTCCTTGAATTTACGGGAATTTTACTTTGAATTCTTTTGTTTTATAAGAGTTTTCTTTTGAATTCCTTTACTCTTAAACCCGTGGATGTATGGGAGTTTTTACTTTGATTTACAGGGATTATTGGGGTTTTACATTGAACTCCTTAAATTTGTTGGAGTTTTTATTAGAATTCAATGGATTTATTCGAATTTTCTTTTGAATTTTTTTATTTTTTCTTGGTTTTTAAAAGTTCAATTATGAATTCATTAATTTTTATTATTTTTATTTATTCTTTAAATTGTTCTGCAACTAAATGTCACTTTGATCATTTTTTTTTAGATTACATGTAGTTATAGTTACATTTTTTTTATAGGCGCTTATTTTTTTTTTATTTTTGCACATTTTTTTTTTTTTTATTTTTCATTTGCAGGATTCGAATTCTTTAGAAGAATCAGATTCTTTAACCGATTTAACAGACGCAACAGACGTTTCAGAAAGCATTTAATTTTCTTTTTTTGGTAAATACTAACAATACGCTTTTTTGGGACAGATTTTTGTTAATAATAACAACGGTGGTTTTTTATTCACATATTTTAAGGTATTAAAAAGAAGGTGTCTTACTTGTTGAGAGATCTTTATAAATATTTCTTCATTTATGAAATTGACGTTTAAAAGTTTGTATGACAAATTTGACAGCTGTCAAATACTATTTATAAATAAGTTGTGATAAAAATCAAACGTCAGCTGTCAATTTTACAATGTCAAATACTCATTTTTTTTTATTAAATTACCAACAAGACTTCTTTTTAATGTTCAAAAGCTTGATTTCCAGTAAGATTGATTTCAGCTATATACTTATCAATTTTAAACATAAATCGCTCAATATTTAAATTTTATTGGAAATCAAATATAACTGTGGGTCTTTTTTTGTTGTTGTTCAAACTATCTTATGTCTTGCGTCTTCCTTCCACTGTCTTGTCAATGTGGTGTGGTTTATTAGGTGCAGAACGCCAAACAACAGCTGATGTTGACCGAGGCCTCTAATGTAGCTCTCAGACAGGCTCATAAGAGGTTGACAAGTCACCACTAGGACAAATTAAATGGAGAAACATCGCTGTAACGTAGTTGAATTTTCGTTATGCTACTAATTTTCTTTTTTAATTAACATGCCTTGGATGAAATTTAATTGCAAGAAAATTAAATTTATTTAAATCAATCAAATCCTTTAAACAATTTTTCATTTACTGCTACTACTAACGATTTTTGATATTTTTTTGCAATTTCACGTTTTTCTTTTTTGCTTTTTTGTGTGGATATGGAAAATTTCTGCATAGTATTTTGTTTTAATACAAAGTTTATAGATTTCTAGTAAAAAAATGGTTTTCGCTTTTCTTGTTACAATAATTGTGTTATGTGAGACCATTTTGTTAAAAATGTTTAAACAAATTGTACGATGTTGAATAAAGAGGAGGATAATTAGCGGTTTGCTGCTAAAAAGTGTGAATAACAAAAATAGCAATAATATATAAATGACTATCTTACGCCTAAACGTAGCGCTGCTTCCATTTCTGAACGATTCGTCCTGAATATCTATAGAAATCCAGCTGAGTTAAGTCTGGATATCAGGTTGGCCAGTCCATTATATCTCTTCTCCAAATTCTACAGTTCTTACGTGTGAATGAACAGATGGAGCTAAGTTGGTGGATAATCAAAAACGTCTTTTTTAGAATTTTATCAAAAGGTCTTGCGTTTGCCGAGCAGTGGGTTGTCATGCAAGAAAGCAACACCAGATGTTGACAGACCCTGTAAAACATAGAATTGTCACTTACGCATTTAAATTGTTATGCTATGTTAACCTGTCACTTTTGCTTGCTAAACTGTTGGAATAAGGGAATGCAAATTAGAGACACCATGGTATGGAGTAAAATGTGTTAAAGAAGCTTAAATTGCCAAATAAAGCTAAAAAAAAAGTTGTAAATGATGAATAATCTGTCGAAAAAATGTAAAATAATAGCCGAGAATTCCGATCAAGGAGAAGCGACAGTAGCTGTCCGTGCCTTTGATATCGGATGGACCTTTTTCACAGCATGACTTTGATTAATACACAACTTAGTACGCTGAGAAAAGATGCTTATTTTCTACACTGAGCGAAATAGTTTGGCAAATTATCTGAAATAATTGTTATAGTCCATGCGCAAATGTTGTAATGTGATTTAATTACATTGAAGTAGTTAGGGTTAATAGCAATAGTGAAACGGCACTAAAATATAATTCATTATGTAATAAATATTTGTTATAAAAGTAAAAGACGTTTATTATTTTATAATTTATCTATACAGTGGGTTCAGTATTTAGTTTATTTATTGTTAAAAATGAAATAAAAGCCCCATATTTAAATTAAATTACCTTTTCCTTAAGTAAAAATAAGGTAAATAAAATTAAGGGTACCAAAAAAAATTTAGGTAACAATTAAAAAGACATTAAGTTTGGGAGGTTTAACTAAATATTTGCAATGTGCATGTATTTTCAAAGCTTTTAGGTTTAAAAAGTACTTACATATTTTTAGAATTTCTGGATTTATATTATATTAAAAGGACTTTCAAGTTTATTACTCATTTCTGTAGAAACAAGTGTTTTCTCGCAAAGATAAGCCAGATGTCATTTAAGGTTTATGTATTTAGAGTTAAATACCTGGCCTGGCTATCACCCAGACAATACAAATATGTCCATTGGACGTCCATTCGATATACAATTTTGAATATCTAGACGTCCAAAAATGAGTTTTTTCTGGACTTCCAACATCCAATGGACGTCCAGTGAAGTATACAAATGGCACACTTTTGACCATTCAGAGGACGTCCAATCCTGGATATATTTGGACGTCGAATACTGGATATTTAAAAAACGTCCAGGATTATATTTCCATTGAGACCACATCCCCATTTTTTTTCAGAACCGCTATACACCATTTATTATTATTTTTTTTAATTAAAGATCGCTTGACCTGAGCAGGCATCGAACTCACGACACATCCATTATCGTTTTACGCTTTCAATCGCTAGACGAGCTCGACCAAGGAACCACTTGAAAACTTTTTACTAGATATAGTTAATTGAATAAGATTTCAAACTTCCGCTGATAGAAAGAAATGCAATAGATTCAATTTGTCAGTTTTTAATGACCAGTTATATTAAAAAAAAGGAGTGTATATAGATGGGTATTATCTGGTACGCTTAATAAATAATGACCTAAGATGGACGTCCACTGGACCTCAAAATACTACTAAACTTAAAATTAAGTCCAAAAACAGACGTTCTCTGGGTATCGATATTTAGCTGTCAAATTAATTAGCATAAACGGACGTACACTGGATGCCCGGATATGGACGTCCTGACCTTTAAATAGATCTAAAGTGGACGTCCATTGGACTATGTGTGCTATCTGAGCATAGACGAATTTTTAGAAATAATACTTATTTAATTATGTACCAATATTTCCAAAATCAACTCCAGTATGATTCATTCAATAAATAGTAAATATGAATGGGCAAAACATCTTTATATTGATATAATTGTAACTTACAATTTAGCCATAATAAAGGGATTTCGCCCACTTTGACCAATCCTAATTGAAACGCGGATTTATTATATTTTTTTAAATATAATTTTAAAATTAAATAAACAAAATCTGCAGTTCAATGTTTATTAAATTTATTTAAAAGAAGAAAAACATATATTTCACAAAATCCAATACCTACATATGAAAAATAAAATGTCAAAAATGATTAAATCATTATACTTAATATTTATGCATGTGATAAAATTCTTAGTTTCCTAATAACTGTTTTGGCACATTTTATATCTGTATTAGAATACCTAAGTGTGTAAAAAATCTCCATCTTATTACTGCACAAAACAAACACCATAAAATATCACTTAACATTGCTCACGTACTAAACACAACTTGGACTGACTTTGACAAATAACATAATTTTGAGTGATATACAACTTATTTTCGCACATGCGCGTTACAAAACGGTACACTGAAAACACCAAGCTGTCGCTTCTCCTTGATCGGTATTCGCGGGTCATACTGAGAAAAGAGATGGGACAAAAATAACGGTATCATAGATATATAGTTACAATAAAAACAACACTGTTGAAATTACATTCAACATGTCCTATCTGCTAAATACTAGGTAGACACTCCCTGTATAAACCTCCGCTTTTAGCAAACAAAAATAATAAAGTACTGAATAGTCATTCCCTGTATAAACTAATTATCTAAACTTGAAACACGCTTGACTTTCAAATGACCGCTAGACATCTGTTTCTTCGCAAACAAGTTAATATGAACACGTACGCAATCATGCGATCTGGGACGGCCAATGAGAAAAAAGGCGGTAAAACCGTCGCTGGCTGGCGGGATTGTATCGGAGAAAAAACTTGCACTTTCGTTTCGTCAGTCGAACAACTCACATCAAAAATCTTGTCAACGCCGGCAGCAAGCCGAAATTTAAGTAAAAGCATTTGTGCGATTTGATTTAAAAAGTTATAACATGTAATCAGTTAATAATTTATGTAACCAAGTATAAATATGTAAAATGTGGAACCAGTAAGCCGTGAATATATTAAATTCAAATATAAGGTGATAGTTTCATTTGAATAAAATCAGTGCATCATCCAGAACTTCGAGAGCATCCTCCAGAGGCTACAGGGTGGAGCATAAGGCCTTCACCCCCAGGTAACATATTTCGAACATAGTCATACAGTCCACACATGATCGAAGGCAGTAAGTGTCAAGCCTTAAACCCAGGGTAAGACAAACACTAATAATAGAATTCGTCGATATAACAAAAGCGGCATTCCTCCCATTACTAGTAGCGCTACGAGAAAGCGGCGGTTAATTCACGAACTAATTGCGTTTTCTAAATTTCAAAAAAACTATTATTCAACATCTACAATCTTTTTAAATTGAAACAAAATTTAATTTAATTTTTTTTTATAGGCCAGGGACGCCATGAACCGTGCGGAAGAACTGGAAACCTCTAATACACACCTATTGAAGAGATTAGACAAATTAAAAAATGCCAAATCGGCCTTACTGAAAGAACTCTGATTATAATAATTGTAGTTTCGGCTCCTATCTATCCCTACTTTTAAGATCAAAACTTTAAAGTGTTTTTAAATCCCGTGAAAGAAAAAAGAAAAACTCAACAAGTCTTACGTAAATAGTTTTTAAAATTACAAAACGTTCAGAAAATATTTTTTAACACATTTTTTAACTCTCGCTTTTATCGTTCTAGTTTTTTTTTTTATAAAGTTGATATTGATATTTTTTTTTAAACGAATTTTTGTTGTAATATTTTTAAATGCGGCCAAAATCAAAAATTTGTCGATACGTCTGTATTTATTTATTAGTTAGGATCGTTTGAAGTGCGTAGCGAATTTTCGTTCGAAAAAATATATACAGGGTGGTCAGAATATCAAAAAAGTTTTAGGTACTAGTTTAGTGCATTTCTTTTTAAATACAAATTTAATTTTGTGTCTCTTTGCTTTGTATATTCACTGCTATAATGTAAATAACATTTTTTTTATATATATAATAAAACCGTAATAATAATAAAAATAAATCGCCAATGACGGAATTTAATTTTTTACAATTTTATCTTAAACCGCCTCTGATATTTTAAATGTATTATTATCACTACATCAGTACCTAAATTACACATTTTTGTTCCTCTTCTAACTGTCCATTAATTTACAAAATTTTCATGAAAGAAAATTAAATTCGGACCACCCTGTACGTTTCTTGATCCATTGTCGTTACGCGCTTCAATTTCTGTACTTTTCCATTTTACTTTTTGTACATATTGTAATTTTACCACGCCTCAGGATTTAAAAGTGTCCATACACGATGTACTTTTTTTGTGTTATCCTCTATGCTTAATTTTTTTACCTAAATGGAAATATGATTTTTAAATGTATGATTTTTTTTTAGATGAATTGGATTAGACCAAAAAAGACCAATAGTGCTCAATTTCGAAAAATACAAATACGTAAAGAAGTGCGACATATTTTTTTGGTATCTTAATTGACTACGAATATTTTCTGTCCTTTGCTATTTTAACTGCCCAAAATTCCTTTTCGTACATTTAAGCTGATCTAACAGATGTTTACAATGTTCTCTTTAATTTAATTGAAGACTTTTTGGAAAAAACGACACTTTGCTCACCGGCGACAATAGTGACAACTCAAAAATAAAGGTTCGGAGAAAATCAGAATTAAAAGTTTTCGGTATTTAAATTTTCATATTTCAAATGTCATTTAAATAACATTAATGAGCTTGGCTGTGACCACAGTGAGTTTTTGTGTACTAATTTTTTGTAGTCTGTTAATTCCATTTTTTGTTTTCAAAAAGGTATCTGTAAGATGCCACAATGTCACTGTTTATATAAGATTAGCTGTTCACTATACTGACACGTTTAACGAAATTGATCAAAAATGGAAAGTCTATAGTGGCATAACTCAAAATATGCCACCAATGCTTAAATAAAGCGTTACTAGAACTCGATTTTGCCACTATTACACAAGACGACTATAATTTTTGATTTTCGACAGGCGGTATTTGAAAGATATGCCACAAGTGTCACAATTTAAATAAGAACAGCTGCCACTATTTCTTACACAAGAAATCACTAATTTTTGTTTTTCGATAAAGGCGATATTTTAAAGATATGCCACAAGTGTCACAGTTCATATAAGAACTTGGTTAATCACAATACTGGCTCATTTATAAAATTTATCAAAAATGGAATGAGTATAGTGGCATAACTGAAAATATGCTACTAATGCTTAAACAAGGCATTACTAGAACTCATTTTTGCCACTATTACTTACACACCACGTTTCTATTTTTTTTATTTTATAAGAACACAGCTTTTCACTATAAGAATTTAACGAAATTGATCCAAAATAGAAATTCTGTAGTGGCATAACTCAAAATATGCCAAAAATGTTTAAACATAGCATTAGAACTCATTTATGCCACTATTACTTACACAAGAAGTCACTAATCTTTGTTTTTCGATAAAGGCGATATTTAAAATATATTCCACAAGTGTCACAATTTATATAAGAACACAGCTGTTCGCTATACTGGCACGATTATCGAAATTGATCAAAAATGGAGAATCTGTAGTGGCATTACTCAAAATATGCTACTAATGCTTAAACAAGGCGTTACTAGAACTCATTTTTTCCACTATTACTTACACACCACGACTCGTAATTTTATAAGAACACTATACGAAATTGTTCCAAAATTGAATTTCTATAGTGACATATCTCAAAATATGCCAGTAATGTTTAAACAGCTTTGCTAAAACTCATTTTTGTCACTATTGCTCAAACATGACAACTCGAATCTAACACAGCTAGAGACATTTATATTTGGTCAGAGGAATATTAAAAATATGTTGTTGATGCAGCATGTGGACGAAATACATGTTATGCCATAGTGACACATTTACCATCTTGAGAAGACTATCTCAAATAATTTTATGCCAGTCTTGTTGGATGAAACTTTTAATATATTTTTAATAGAATGCAATAATAGAACAGCTATCGATTAATTACGCGTTGATGGGACACCCTGTATATGTGTTATTGGCTAACATGTTGGTATCGTTGGATAGGTAAATTTATAAAGAATTTTATGCTGAAATAATATATAGGGTGTTGCATTTGAAAAAATTTAGAAAATTAAACTTAAAATAGTCCATAATGTTTCAAAACATTTTCCACTATTCATTAGCTTATAAGTCTGTATTACCAAACCATTTTAAAACTGAAATAAAATACAGGGTGTTCTATTTAAAAAATATACATCTTTATTTTCCAGGCAAAAACGCAACACCCTGTATATTCAAAAAGATTTTTAAATTACGTATTTTCTTAAATCCTTGTAACTTTTATTTGAAACTTGTTTGTGTGTCAATAAAACAAATTGAAATGTTGAACAATTACGCACTAATGGGACACCCTGTATATAAATTTTTGTTTAAAATGTGACAAATTGAAATTAAAAATCGATCTGTTATAGGAAATTGTTTAAAATTTGATTTTTTGGCTGAAAATGAATTTATTCCATACTTTACAGTCACCCAGTATAAAATACAGTGTATGCCATAAAGTTGGAATATTTTTTTTATTAGGATTAAAAAAAAAGTCTGGTTATTTTAAAACTTTAAAAATCCCATATCAAAGTTCCCACTGCCAAATTCTAATTTTTTTTGAAAAATCTTTCATTTATTAAATATGAAAAAAAAATTAAAAAAAAACTGTTTCTAATGACAATGAAACCTATTTTAATAAAAGAAAATATTTAAATTATGGGCTATTTTCTTGGAAATTGCAAAATCGTCCAAAAAACATTTTATGCATAATTTTAATTTCATAAAAAATACCAACATCGTCGAACATTATTAACAAAAATTGGTATGACATTGTTGTATTCTCGACCATTTTAAGCTTTTTCAATGATTGTAAAATTGTTAGTCATGGATTGTCAGATTGTCTTGTTCAAAATTGCAGAAACAAGTTTCTCTAATAATTTTTTATATTTCAAAAAACAGATAACTAATATCAGTAGACAACTTTGTTGTGGGCTTTTAAGTTTTTAAATAATCGAAGGTAATTGTCCTAGGATTTTTTTTTCATAAATTATGGCACACACGGTATATATGAAAAATTCTCTCTTATCCTGTAACCTCCGAAATTTCATCTGATCTTTGGCGCAATGACATACTTTTAATATATCTAAATTCAACTATACTCTATTCAAAGCATATAGTACGAAATAATAACCCTGATTTCAAGAGTGGTATTTATTAGATTGTATCATGAAGTGTCAAAATCTCAGAAATTTTAAAAGATGTCCACCAAAAATAATTGGATGTCACAAAATGTCAAAATTAAAGATCAAAATTTTACAATTATTTTGTTTTATGTCGATTTCGATCCAAAATAATATGCCGCACCTATTTATCCTTGTAGAAATGGAGGTTAGCTCAATAAAAATAAAAAAACTATTTTCTGAATAGGCTCAAAACGCTTTTTGGCCATTTTCCTTTACACGAAATTCAAAATTTTGCTCAACGAGACAAAAATTCCTATTTTATATATAAAATGCCCCAAATCCAGTGCTAAAATGCCTTATATCGGGAAAAGAAGGCCAAAAAGTGACCTGCAATATCACCGGTACTTTTTTAGCTTTTTACTAATTTCCAAAAAATATCGGCGCTCCGTTCGCGGGGGGCGATGAAACGGTTGTACTGTTATCTCGAGTTTTATTATATTTTTTCCTAACAGCAAAATGCAAGTAACGCTTATATATTATAAATATATATGTAGATATGAAATATGTGATTTTGTGTATACATCTATAATCGTTTTGGTAAAAGGTAATTTAAAAAAATAAAACTAATTTATAGAAATGTGCGAGTTTTATTACTTCAAACATTGAAGTGAAAATTGTTTATCCCACTTCAAATGACATATTTAACACTTTAGCTGCACTAATTTATAGAAATGACGAGTTTTATTTGTTCAAACATTGAAAATTGTTTATCCCACTTTAAATGACATATTTAACACCTTAGCTGCCAAATGGCAGCATATTATCATTGGGTCCAGTGTATCAACTGTTGTAACATGGTAGATCAATGTATTGTATTAGTAGATTCAGCTTATGTTTTTATAATGTAGGTCCAAATAGTGGACCTGGCAGAAATAATTGTAGGTGGGAAACAAAAGTTTTTCTAAAGAATACAAATACACGTTTATTGACTACAAAGAAAGAAAGATATACATGTTCAGGATAACAGAAGAGAGAGTACGTATGTATTTTAAGAAAAGGCAGTGAAAATAAGGTCCTTAATCAAGTTACCATATAATTTAGGGTAACGCAAAATCGTTGAATAGCTCCTCGTTCTCCTAATACAAAATTCGCCATTAAATTAGGTGTGAAATCCAAAGAAATAATTCTTATACTTACTCGCCCTTTTCTTATTCTGATACAAATTAGTCATTAGTCCACGAATTCCCCTAATGAAAACGGACGAGTGTTAAGCTTGATTCAATGGCGAACTGACATACAAAATATAAACATATGTTGTATATTGTAATTTAAACTGACGAATCCAAACATTGGCTACTAAAAACTGACATAGAAATATGAGAATCCTGATAAAACTAAAAAATTGATCCACTAAATACTGACGAATATCAAAAATGATGAAACTACAATTGGTCTACTAAAAATTGACATGGAAATATGAAAGACATGATGAAACTAAAGAATTAAATCTACGAATTGGTCTACTAAAAATTACGAATATCAGACCAGATGAAACTAGAGTTAGTTCAGGCATTTGCCTACTAAAAACAGATAGAAATTTGAGAGGCATGATGAAACTAACGAATTAATCCACAAGTTGGCCTATTAAAAACTGACGAATGTCAAGTAAAAGTCCAAAATTTTACATTTTAAAGTAATAGCCATTTTGTTTAAAATTTGTCTCTTCATTGATTGGGCTTAAAAACTGGACTAGATAACTAGCCGTTAACGTAGCACAGCTGATTGCATTCGTGAAATCAGGAGCGAAACATCTCAATAACAAAATAATGGTCAGTTGCTATAGTGGAAAACCACAAATGCTGAAAATGATGATTAGATGACTGAGATAACAGTTTTGATATTGTATTTTCCCTCCTTTTTGAATAAATATTAAATAAATCAAAAAATTTTCACCTATTTCTTTTTAGGATATAGAGTAAAAATCGTACAAGTCCATACTTCATTTGTATCTGCCATTGGTAGTCCATTTTCTTTTCTGAAAAACTACCATTAAAAAACATTGCCTGATGCCTAAAGAAAGCGATGCTAGAACTCATTTTTGCCACTATTACTTACCACATTTCTATTTTTTTAATTTTATAAGAACACGGCTGTTCACTATAAGAATTTAACGAAATTGATCAAAAATTAAAATTCTATAATGGCATAACTCAAAATATGCCACTAATGTTTAAACAAAGCATTATAACTTATTTTTTCCAGTATTACTTACACAAGAAATCCCTAATTTTTGTTTTTCGATAAAGGCGATATTTAAAATATTTGCCATAAGTGTTACAGTTGATATAAGAACACAGCTGTTCGCTATACTGGCACGATTGTCGAAAATGGGAATCTATAGTGGCATTACTCAAAATATGCCACTAATGCCTAAATAAAACGTTGCTAGAACTCATTTTTGCCACTATTACATTTCTATTTTTTTTATTTTATAAGAACACGTCTGTTCACTATAAGAATTTAACGAAATTGATCCAAAATGGAAATTCTATAGTGGCATAACTTAAAATATGCCACTAATATTTAAAAAAGCATTATAACTCATTTTTGCCACTATTACATAAGACATCGCTAATTTTTGTTTTCGATAAAGGCGATTTCTAAAATATATGCTACAAGTGTCACAGTTTATATAAGAACACAGATGTTCGCTATACTGGCACTATTGTCAAAATTGATCAGAAATGAAAAATCTGTAGTGGCATTACTTAAAATATGCCACTAATGCTTAAATAAAGCGTTGCTAGAACTAATTTTTTCTCGGAAGGCTGATTTTGGACATGTACGGTTTTCGAACTCACCATTGGCTACTAAAAACTGACATATAAATATGAGTGGCCTGATGAAAATGAAGAATACTAATTAATAACAGGCCTGATAAAACTAGAATTGGTCTACTAAAAAATGACTTAAATATGAAAGGCATGATGAAACTAACGAATTAATTCACAAATTGGCCTATTAAAAACTGACGAATGCCAGGCCTAATGAAACTAGAGTTAATTCAGGCATTAGTTTTCCAAAAATTGACATAGAACAATGAGGGGCCTGAGAAAATAAAGAATAGGTCCACGATTTGGCATACATATTACAGAATTAAATCTACGAATTGGCCTACTAAAAAATTACGAATGTCAGGTCTGATAAAACTAGCATTGATTCGGGCTTTTGCCTCCTAAAAACTGACTGAAATTTAAGAGGCATGATGAAACTAACGATTTAATCCACAATTTGGCCTATTAAAAATTGATAAATGTCAGGCCCGATGAAACTAAAATTGGTCCAAACATTGGCTACTAAAAACTGATATAAAAGGCCAGGTGGAACTAAAGAATTGGCCAACTAAATATTGACAAATGTCGGATCTGATAAAACTAAAATTGATCTACTAAAAACTGACAGAAATTTGAGAGGCATGATGAAACTTTACGAATTTGCCTATTAAACACTGACAAGATTATGAAAGGCCTGATAAAACTAAAGAATTGGTCTAAATACTGACGAGTGTCAGGCCTTTTCTAAACATTGGCTACTAAAAACTAACAGAAATTAAGAGGCTAAGGGCCGATTCCACCGTTGTGTTAAACGGAGATTAAAATGACACTGTTAATGTAAAAATGTCATTTTAAACTTCGTTTAACACAATGGTGGAATCGGTTCTTAATGAAACTAAATAATTTATCCCCTAAATACTGACGTATGTCAGGCCTGATGAAACTAGAATTGGTCTACTAAAAACTGACAGAAATTTGAGAGGCATAATGAAACTTAACGAATTAATCCACAAATTGGTCTATTAAAAACTGGCGAATGTCAGGTCTGCTGAAATTTAAATTGGCCCAAACATTGACTACTAAAACCTGACAATGAAATATAAAAGGCCTGATGAAGCTAAAGAATTGGTTAAAGGCTGTCGAGTGTTAGGTCGGATGAAACTAAATTTTTTCCAAATATTGGCTACTAATACCCGACATAGAAATTGAGAGGCCTAATGAAACTAAAGGTTCGGTCCACTAAATACTGACGAATGTGAAGCCTGATGAAACTAGAATTTGCTAAAAACTAACAGACATTTGAGAAGTATGATGAAACTTAACGAATTAATTCACAAATTGGCCTATTAAAAACTGACGAATGTCAGACTTTATGAAATTTAAATTGGCCCAAACATTGACTACTAAAACCTGACATAGAAATATAGAAGGCCTGATGAGGCTTAAGAATTGGTCTAAATGCTGTCGAGTGTCAGGGCTGATGAAACTTGAATTTAAGTTGAATAGAGAGTAGAGTTAGTCCAGACATTGGTTTATTAAAAACTGACATAAAACTGAGAGGTCTGATGAAACTAAAAAATTGGTCCACGAGAGGTAAATAGTAATTTATCAGTCCAGCTCTATGTTTGTGTGAATTTATTAAAAAATTAGATAATTAGAATTGAGGAAAACAAAAAAATTCTTAAAAACAATTTTATTTCTTACATTCTATAAAAAAAAACCTTTTTATATACAAAATAATACATATAAACGTACAAAAAACGTTTAATTCCTTCTCCTCCTGACTCTCGATATCCTCCACGCATTGGGCTCTTCGTATTTGTTGTACAAAGGCTCCAAGCGTTGATTCTTTTTGAATTTACTCAACTTCGTAGGATCGGAGAACTTGAAGAACGCAGGCGCGAACTCAACCAGCCATTTCGGATCGATAGTCGTCACTTCTCTCATGTACTCCTTCGTCGTCTGGACCAATTCGTGGTAAATCACCCTAGAAAAACGATTTTTAAGTATAAAACTTCAAAAATAATACTTAATATTGTCATAAACAAGTGACGTTTGACAGTTAAGACTTACCATTCAGGTTGCCGATTGAATAAAGCACTAGAAGGATGAATGTATACCACTTGACTGTCCACCAAAGTCCTGTAACCTTCCTGAGGATCCTTTTTCCCAGCGTTCCTAAAGAAACCTGAACAAATAGCCTTCTGCACCCTGACGGTATTTCTTTCGGCAGACACCACGTCCAATTTATGCCTGTCCATGATACCGAGCAACTGTTTCCTGACATCCTGCGCCCTCTTCAACGTTCTGATTTGCACGAAATTTTCGTAACACCAAGCGTTCGAAAATTTGTTGTTCTTCCAACTGTTGTACACCGCCAACAGCGTCAAATGATCGCCTTCCGGTTGATTGAATTTCGCCTTCTTTTGATCGGCCAGCGCTTGTTTGTCTTTCGGCCGGTAGAATACGTTTTGGACGGACAGCATGCTCACTATGGTCAAAATTTCGTCGGAACATTGAAGCGCCACCGACATTATGAGCATCTTTGATAGATTGGGTTCCAGCGGGAATTCCGCCATCTAATACAATTAAAAAGAATATTATTTATTAGCAACATTACTCATCATTATATTAATAATTATAGATTTTGTAAAAGTTTGGAGATTTTCAATATACACATTAAAAAGAAAAATAAGTACATATTATAAATAAATACTTTTTTATTATTAACTTTGCAAAAAATCTATAAAAATCTATAAAAACCTATAAAAATCTATAAAAATCTTTAAAAATCTTTAAAAATCTATAAAAAATTTTAAAAATCTATATATTTTTTTAGTTATTCTTCATAAAAAGTTAGGTATAGTCTGAAACCTAAAATGTTTTTTACAATAGTAAACGAGGTATGTAAAATAATATAAATTTTTCTGAAGAGGAAAGTACCTTTATTTTTGATAAACCTCGTATACGACTGATAAAATTTGATATCTGATGGTTGTATTGAATGTTTTAGACTATGCTCGACATTTTATGAAGAATAACTTTTTTTGTCAAAATTAATAATAAAGCCACCAACTGTCTACGTAAGTTGGCGGCATATGAAAAACTTTTTTTTATTGATATTAGGAAAAAAAGGTATTATTCGTAAAAAGTCGAGCATGTTCATACAAATTTTATCAGCCGTATACGAGGTTTGTCAAAAATAAAGGTACTTTACTCTTCTACAAAATTCATATTGACATACCTAAGTATACTATTGTAAAAATTTGATATCTGATGGTTGTAATTTAAGTTTCAGACAGTGCAGAACTTTTTATGAATAAAAACTTTTTTTTTGTAAAGTTAATAATAAAAAAGTTTCCCATATGCTTTGACTTAAGTGGACATATTGTATATCACACAATAAAGAACATGTAGTAATAAGAAGGCGTGGTGGAAATAATTACATTAAAATTAAAATGGAATGATTACAGACTTGACATAAATCAGATACAATAGTTTTTTTCTTCTTCGAAGCTTGTAAATGTATTGGATGAAGTTGACCCATTAAAATCGTTTCCCAATATAAAAATTGGTGGAATGAAACGGTTGAAAATGCTAGAACATTCTCGGCTGTTTTTGTGTATAAGACTGTATGAAAAATATTTTGATTCTATATAGAATAAGTATGTTTTTGAATGTGTGGGCTTTGAACGCAGGTATTTCTTTACACCAGGGCCGGTCTGGGAATGCTGTTTAAATTGAGGAATATATATTATGAAATTTAAAAGGAAGGTAAGACCGAAATACATGGAAGTAGCATTACGACTTGAATTTTTAAACAAACTTTGTTTCTTTTTGTATTTGATCAATTTCTGTGCAGGACAAAAATATAGAACTCTAAAATTTGTACGATTTTATTTAATATAGTTAATTAGGATAAAAATTACTTCTCGCGTCAAGTCTTTTCAGGGCTTTTTATTAAACTAAAAATAACACTTATCATTAAAAGAATAATAACCAGTCTGATAAACTCTTCGGACTTTTCTAAAGCGAATTCACCAGAGCGAAAATCTAATAAGTTGGTGCCTTATTGTCTCAATTTCGGTATATCTAATGCAAACGTCAATTAAGAAAAAACTAAAAGCAATCTGTTTAATCGATATATTTACTATAAATTGATGCAAGGTAAACTATCAAAAGTATTTAATTTGTAATTAAAAAAGGATGCAAAATAACAAAGTTTGAGAGTTCGGAAGAAAGTGGTGCAAGAATGGAAAATACAGAACAGATCGGTCAAGAGGAAGAGGATAAGAATCAAGTACGAGTTCAGGAAGAAGAGAAGATAAAGGAGTATAAAAATAGAAATGGATATAAAGGACGTGTTGAAGATATTAATGGTAACAAGTATTAAAAGTAATTTAAAAAAAAATCGTGCAGATGCCATCACCACATCTTAACAAAATTTATATGGGACCACCCCTGAGGTACCCCCTTACTGGCAAAAAAATCATAGAAATTGGACAAGGTGGTAAAGAATTATCGCTAAACATACATAAAAAATGAAGAGTTTGAGGATTTTCTCATGGACCCAATTATTAGATTTTGACCAAATTTATATGATACCATCCCTCAAGTACCCCCCTTCCAAACAAAAAAGAATCATTGAAATCGGACACCGTGTTAAAGAATTATTGCTGAACATACATAAAAAAAATATACCAACGAATTGAGAACCTCCTCCTTTTTTAAGTCTGTTAAAAATTGAAGAAAATAAACGAGAAATGAGCGGACTTATGAAAAGAAGATAAAAGAATAATACGAAATAGGAAAGAAGCTAGATGAGAAGATGGAAAATTTAGGGGAAAACCAGATTGAGGAAACCAAAAGGAAATAAAAGAAGAGTTGATAGGGAAGATTATGAAAAATGAAAAACTACAAGATGAGAGAATTAAGAAAATATAGAAATGAAAGGAAAGATGAAAGAAATAAATTAGGAGAATAGGAAGAAAATGTATGTAAAAGGTAGAAGAAAGAAAAGAAACGAATAAAGGTACAAGAAAAAGAAAGAAATATAAAACTAGCTTCAATTTCTAATGAAGAAAAACAGATTCGCAATGTAGAAAAGGAAGCAAGTATTAATAATTATAATAAGTATTAGAAATTAAAAATTTAAAAAACCGACTTCAAAAACGTGCAGATGCCATCACCTCTTAACCAAATTTATATGGGACCACCCCTGAAGTACAAAAAAAGAATCATTGAAATCGGACACCGTGTTAAAGAATTATCGCTGAACATACATGAAAAAAAAAAATAATATTGCGACGAATTGAGAACCTCCTCCTTTTTTAAAGTCGGCGAGAAAGAAAATTGAAGAATTAAAGAAGAAAATGAGGAGGAAAATTAAATAAAACAAACAGTAAAGTCAAGAGGAAAATAGAAACCAAGATAAAGGAAAAAGAAACAATGAATGATCAAGATTAACAAATTTAAAGATATTAGAAAGAATAAAAATAAAAGTAGGGAGAATTTAAAACAGATAGAAGAAATAACAAAATAGTAAATAGAAATTAAAGTAATAGTAAAATAAAAGTAAAGTAGATATAGAAAATGTATTGAAAAAAGAGTCGAACAGAAAATAAAATAGTAATAAAAGTGATCCATCCTATAGAGGGGGTCGTTTTTCTACTTTATGGAATATATCTGTTATTTACGCTTGGAGAAGAAATGTCTTCAAATAAAAGTTGCTTGTAATGATATTCTCTATAATTTTTGTCTTATACATAATTTTCCTAAAATGGTCCGTACTCGAAAAAATTTGACAAAAAGTGCAAAATTCGAATTATTAAGAAAATTGTTCAAATAAAACGTGTTTGTGATATCATTTTCTATAATTTTTGTTCTATATATGATTTCTTTAAAATGAACCTTAATGGAAAAATTTGAGGCAAAGTGTAAAATATTAAGTTTTCCATATTTTCGTTGGCAAAGAATATATATAAAAAATGTTTCGAGTAGGATGTATGTGGAAAATGTTTGTATTTAGTTCATCCTCTAAACGTTTACAGGAGTGATACAATAGGTTGTACAAAATAACCAGAAAAAGCTTAAAAAAATGGACAAGAAAGTCATGTGTTGGCTACATCACATTTTTTTTTATTCATATGTAATTATGTTATTATAAAAGTATTTTAAAATATTTTAATTTTCTAATATTGCATTGATTACTTTTTTCTTTGACTAAGGATAAATATAAAAATTTTCAGCTAAGATTATACAAGACAGTTAAAAGAAGGCCCGGATATGACCCTTGTGGTACTTAAAATTTACTCACCCTTCTACCCAATCTAGTCAACAGTCCTTCATCGTCTAGGGCCGATAACGAATGCAACTGTTCCAGCGCCATTATTAGAGATTCTACAGGCGGAGCATCCATGAAATCGAAATGAAGCAGATCGTTTATGCCCATAGTTTTCAGCTGGAGCACCGTCGTCGCTAAATTTGTACGTTGGATTTCGGGCACCGGCGTCGGCAACATTTCGTCGCGGTACGCCCTTTCGGTGTACAGCCTGTAGCATTTTCCAGGACCGGTTCTACCTGCACGGCCTGCGCGTTGTTTCGCTTGCGCCTACAAACAATTTATTTCATATAAAATACGGTGATGATTTATTATTATAAAAAAATACTAATGATGGTTGACAAATGACGTGTGACAGTTGACAAATGACGGATGACAGTTGAAAAATGACATAAACAAATAGTTGAAAAATTACATAAACACAGTTGAAAAATTACATAAACAAACAGTTGAAAATGACATAAACAAACACGTGAAAAATTACATAAACAAACACGTGAAAAATGACATAAACAAACAGTTGAAAAATGACATAAACAAATAGTTGAAAAATGACATAAACAAGTTTCTTACCTGCGAAATGGGTGTAACTACGAGCGAATCCATTCCGGTTTTGGAATTATAAACTTTCTGTTTGACGAATCCCGGATCGACGACATAATAAATCCCGTCAATTGTTAGAGACGTTTCGGCAATATTTGTAGCTATAACGACCTTTCGGCTACCCGGCGGTGCCGGTTCAAATATCCTAGTTTGCATTTCTGATGGTAACGCGGAATACACGGGTAGGATGATTAGTTCAGGTACATCGGGACCTAAAAAATATCAAATTGAATTTGAGGAAGTTGAAATTTTGAGGGAAAAAATTACAAATACTGTACAATGGAGATAAGGAGAAAAGAACTATTTTCGATTCCTGCGAATTAAACAATAGCTACCTAAGAGTAGTCACTATAAAAATTGTAAATACATATATTAATAGTAATGTCGTGCGAGCCGTTTTCAACCAGTCCAGTCTTGTCTCCGATGTCTGGCGATATGGACGTTAATCATTGCAAGCAGTTACAGGAAAGATCAGATTCCTAGACGAAAGGCATCTAAAACATCCGGGAGTGTTCAGGACAGGGCTAGTACGCTCAATTTTTACCTAAATAGCGCGACTTTGTCTAGTTAAGTTTGGTATAAAGATAAAAATTGTCGAGTAACGTTAAATTAGTTATAAATGTTTGTATAGAAAAAAAATTTCTTACCTAGACTCTTCATTCTTTCATACAGAATCTCGCAGGCTGTATCGATCTCCTCCTGCCCGGTCAAAAACAGTAAAATATCGCCGGGCGGTTCCCTCAGGTGTATCTGCATCACGGTGATCAAGCTGGCGTCCAAATAATCAGTTTCCGGTTCTTTGGTGTACAAAACTTCGACCGGAAACGTTCTGCCGGGTATCGTGAATATCGGCGCCTTGAAGAAGTACTGCGAGAATTTGACGGCGTCCAGCGTTGCCGAGGTGACGATCAATTTGAGTTCTTCGCGTTTCAAGACAGCTTGTTTCAGAAGACCGAATAGGACGTCGGTGTGGATGGTACGTTCGTGAGCCTCGTCCAACATAATCACCGAGTAATTTTTGAGATCTAAGTCCATAAGACATTCTCTAAGCAACATACCTGTAAATGTAAATAATATACATAATAATTTTATTATTTTTTTTATTAGATAGATGTACTTTATTAATCATCATCTTACAATGACATGAGACAGAATACAAGAGTTAAAATAGGTTTTTATTAGCCAAAGTAAAATAAGTTACTGTTGATTACTATAAGGACATTAAAGGTCTGTTCTAACAACGATCAAAAACCAGGATTCTGCGCAGTGCATGTAAAAAGTATCAAAAAGTACGTAGAAGATTCCAATTTATTTTAAAAAGTGAACAGAGATTGATGACAGCAAAGAAAGTATGTAAGAATCTATAAAATACGACATACCTGTAAATTTAAATTTTCTAATACTAGAAACTAGGTCTAAAATGAAAATTTTGTGCATTTTAAGACCATAGGGTTTAGTTCAAACAAATTTTATTGATATAAAAAAATATTAAATTTTGTCTTTTATAATTTTGATGATCGGAAAACCTAAAGGAAAGTTTAATAATATTACGAGTATATATAAACTTTGGGTAACTTTTCTTAACGTTCAGCAGCACAATGTTCTAAAAACCTAAAACTCGTTCGAAGTGACCTCACTCAAAACATCTAAAAAGTAGAAGAAAATAATAAATGGAGAACTTAAAGCATGTAAAATTTATCAAAAAGTACGTAGAAGGTAAAAATTATTTAAAAAGGTGAACCAGGACATTAATTACAGGTACGAAAGTATTTAGAATACTTAATATGCCACATATCTGTAAATTAAAGTTTGCTAATACTATAAAACATAATAACTAAAAGAAAATAATAAATAAAGAACTTAACGTATGTAAATGGTATTAAAAAGTACGTAAACGATTCCCATTCACAATTTATTTAATAAAGTGAACGAGATGACAGTTACGAAGGTATGTAGAATACATATAATGTTACCTACCAGTAAATTTTAGTTTGCTAATACTATAAAACATTTAAAAACTAGTACAAAATAATAAATGAGGAACTTAAAGCATGTCAAGGGTATTAATTTATTTAAGAATGCCAACTAAGAGATCAATGTCAGTTATGAAAGTATGTAGAATACATAAAATGCTACATATCTGCAAATTCAGGTTTACTAATTCTATAAAACATCCAAAAACTGAAAGAAAATAATAAATGAGGAACTTAAAGCATGTCAAGGGTATTAATTTATTTAAGAATGTTAACTAAGAGATCAATGTCAGTTATGAAAGTATGTAGAATACATAAAATGCTACATATCTGCAAATTCCGGTTTACTAATTCTATAAAATATCCAAAAACTGAAAGAAAATAATAAATGAGGAACTTAAAGCATGTCAAAGGCATTAATTTATTTAAGAATGTCAACTAAGAGATCAATGTCAGTTATGAAAGTATGTAGAATACATAAAATGCTACATATCTGCAAATTCAAGTTTACTAATTCTATAAAACATCTAAAACCTGAAAGAAAATAATAAATGAGGAACTTAAAGCATGTCAAAGGTATTAATTTATTTAAGAATGTCAACTAAGAGATCAATGTCAGTTATGAAAGTATGTAGAATACATAAAAAGCTACATATCTGCAAATTCCGGTTTACTAATTCTATAAAATATCCAAAAACTGAAAGAAAATAATAAATGAGGAACTTAAAGCATGTCAAGGGTATTAATTTATTTAAGAATGTCAACTAAGAGATCAATGTGTTATGAAAGTATGTAGAATACATAAAATGCTACATATCGCTGTCCTAGTTCAAAAGTGTAACATCTCCAAATCAGCAATTTTGAGATAAATTACTTTAAAGATTTTTATTTACTAATTTGTAAGATTTTTCTTTACTAATTTGTAATTTATTATTAAAATAAATATTTTGAGATATTCTACTGTTGAACGAGGTGTTGAATTATTGTAATAGACCTGGCCCTTCTTGCTAAGAATACATTCTTATCTCAAACCCTAAAATTTTTGAGATGTTACAGGTTTGAACTGGGACAGCGATATCTGCAAATTCAAATTTACTAATTCTATAAAACATCTAAAAACTGAAAGAAAATAATAAATGAGGAACTTAAAGCATGTCAAAGGCATTAATTTATTTAAGAATGTCAACTAAGAGATCAATGTCAGTTATGAAAGTATGTAGAATACATAAAATGCTACATATCTGCAAATTCAGGTTTACTAATTCTATAAAACATCCAAAAACGGAAAGAAAATAATAAATGAGGAACTTAAAGCATGTCAAGGGTATTAATTTATTTAAGAATGTCAACTAAGAGATCAATTTCAGTTATGAAGTATGTAGAATACATAAAATGCTTCATATCTGCAAATTCAAGTTTACTAATTCTATAAAACATCTAAAAACTGAAAGAAAATAATAAATGAGGAACTTAAAGCATGTCAAAGGCATTAATTTATTTAAGAATGTCAACTAAGAGATCAATGTCAGTTATGAAAGTATGTAGAATACATAAAATGCTACTTATCTGCAAATTCCGGTTTACTAATTCTATAAAACATCCAAAAACTAAAAGAAAATAATAAATGAGGAACTTAAAGCATGTCAAGGGTATTAATTTATTTAAGAATGTCAACTAAGAGATCAATGTCAGTTATGAAAGTATGTAGAATACATAAAATGCTATATATCTGCAAATTCAAGTTTACTAATTCTATAAAACATCTAAAAACTGAAAGAAAATATTAAATGAGGAACTTAAAGCATGTCAAAGGTATTAATTTATTTAAGAATGTCAACTAAGAGATCAATGTCAGTTATGAAAGTATGTAGAATACATAAAATGCTACATATCTGGAAATTCCGGTTTACTAATTCTATAAAATATCCAAAAACTGAAAGAAAATAATAAATGAGGAACTTAAAGCATGTCAAGGGTATTAATTTATTTAAGAATGTTAACTAAGAGATCAATGTCAGTTATGAAAGTATGTAGAATACATCAAATGCTACATATCTGCAAATTCCGGTTTACTAATTCTATAAAACATCCAAAAACTGAAAGAAAATTTTAAATGAGAAACTTGAAGCATGTCAAGGGTATTAATGTATTTAAGAATGCCAACTAAGAGATCAATGTCAATTATGAAAGTATGTAGAATACATAAAATGCTACATATCTGCAAATTCAAGTTTACTAATTCTATAAAACATCCAAAAACTGAAAGAAAATAATAAATGAGGAACTTAAATTATTATAGAAGGTATCTATTTAAAAATGTTAATAGATTCAAGAATTTATGAAAGCATGTAGAATTCATGATATGCTCACCATCTGTCATGTACTTGATCATCGTCTCAGGGCTAGTACAATCCTCGAATCTGATGGTATATCCAACTTCCTGTCCCAATCTACATCCAAACTCCTCCGCTACTCGCTTAGCCACCGACATGGCGGCCACTCTTCTTGGCTGAGTACATCCTATTTTTCCCCTGGCTGTGAAACCGGCTTCAGCCAAATACTGAGTGATCTGCGTCGTCTTACCAGAACCCGTTTCGCCGATCACGATCAAAATTTGATTGTCCGTAACGGCTTTTCGTAATTCTTCTTTGAGCTTGTAGATAGGAAGAGACTGGCGCTGTTCGATTATCGTCAGATTGGTTTTTTTGCCGAAAGACGACTTTTTACCACCTGAAAATGACAGTAAAGCATAAAAACTATCTAATTTTGTCCAGTAATTAGCACCAAAGTTAGAAAAAATTCAATGATGTCAGGTTAAAAGTAAAAATTTTGTTACAGACATAAAAGTCTAACCAGCACAACTTACCAATGACGTGCTTTTTCCACTCGGGCAAATCCTGGCTTTGCAGGCCTATTCCCCTCGCCATCAGTCTGGTTTCGTCTTCGGGAAGTGGATCAATCCAATTTTTGTTCTTACCGGATGGTTGTGAATCGACTTCTTGTTCTCTTTGAATCATTTTTTGTTCCCTGCGTTCTTTGGCGAGAGCGGATTGCATCATGGCGGCTTGGGCTAGAGATCCATCAGGATTTTTGACTATCCTCACTGGACTAAGGTCGTGGACGGCTCTACCGTGGCCTGAAAAATGGATGGAAATGGTTTAATATTTGTATCTCCTTAAATGTAAATCATACATAAAAATAACTTTAATAAAACTTGCAGAGCAACAAAATGTCTACAATTTTCCTAATAAATAAATAACTACCTTGCAAAAATGGAGGTTCATCTTCAACCAATTCAATCTCAATATCAGCCTCTCCATCTTCCTCTTTAGGCAGCAAACCAGTTTCTTCATCAAATTCAGGCAGCTCACTTTTATCTATACATCCAGATGAGATCATCTGTTTGATTTCCCACCTTTCTGGGCTGGAAATTCTTGTTACTCGCTTCCTAGAGTCCTCTTCACCTTCATCTATGCTGACCGGCAGTCTTAGAACTGATGTGCTATTGTTCATCGGTCTGTCAGGGTTTCTGTCTTTGTCTTCTCTTTCGTCAGGTGCATGGGAGTGGGGGTTCAAATCTTTTCCTGTCATCTGGCAGACATCTTTCATGGAAAGGGAAACTTTTTGGCCTGTTATTGTCAATACTTTTACCTAAACATAAGAAACTGTTTGTAGGATTTTATTCTGAATTAGAAATATTAATGAAATGCTCACCTTTACTTTGCCCCCTCTAGCGACTACTTCTGAAACATTTGTGACTCTGCCTTCAGCTCTCAGTTGAGAAATATGAACTAGACCCTCCCATCTTCTTTTCAAGCCTTCCAACTGAACAAAACATCCAAATGGAACGATATTCGACACTTTTCCATTATAAATCTAGAATAAAAATTATGGTAGGTATACTTTAAAAAGTTATATTTGCTAAAAACATTTTTCCACATTTGCTAAATTCCAAACAATTTTACAAAAAAGTGTTCACTGAATAGATTCTATAAATTTTCTTACCTTTCCTGGAGTAGGATCTTCTTCAAATTCAGGATTATCTTTTTCACTTTTAAATTTCTTCTCAGAACTTCTTTCCCTTCTGTTAGTCCTAGATCTACTCCCATCTCTTCTTCCTCTATCTCTAGATCTACTTCTATCTCTCCTATCTCTTGATCTATTTCTCTCCCTTTTATCTGTATCTCTAGACTTACTTCTATCTCTCCTATCTCTTGATCTACTTCTATCTCTCCTATCTCTTGATCTACTTCTATCTCTCCTATCTCTCGATCTATTTCTTTCCCTTTTATCTGTATCTCTAGATCTCCCTGACTCTCTTCTATCCCTTGATCCACTCCTCTCTCTAGTTTTGGAACTACTTCTATCTTTTCTACGTTTTTTACGGTCATCTCTGGACCTACTTCGATGCCTCTTATCAGTTTTATCTCTTCTAGAGTTTCCTTCCCTTGATCTAGACCTTCTTCTTGTTCTAGATCTGCTTCTGGATCTTTTCTTTGGTTTTCTTTCAACACTTGCGCTTCTAGATCTGTCTCTGGTGGTGGTTTGCTTTTGAGAAGGAGCATCGGCTTCAAACTGTTTCATCATATCAGCTACTATATCTACTTCTTCAACTTTTTCTTTTTCCAAAGGTTTTTCATCTTTCTCTTCCAAAAATAATGGCTTTTGGGCTTCATTGGGTATTGCCAGACCGGGAAATTTAAACGCTAGTCCTTCTTTCTCAATATGTAGAGCCTCTTCTTTGTTGGCAGCCTTTTTTGGCTTCATGTGTTGAATAATTCGCAGCAAGTTAGAAATAAATGAGTCTGAAAACTCTGCTCCATTTTCTAAGAGAGCCTTCTTGAATGTTTCTAAAGTATTGTTCTTTTCAGAGAGATGTATAATGAATTCAGCTAAAAAAATAGGATGGTTCATAAAGTTTTCATAACCATAAACACAACTAATATACATACCTAAATCTTTATCGTTCATTCCGAGATGATTATCTAATTCTGTACAAACCTTGGAAACCAAAGAGAGATATTCTAACTTCTCTAATTCATTCATTTTAAAGGTTTTTTTTAAAATTCTATCTATATTTTTAATGTTTTAATTTTAATTCAGATATCATTTGACATTTACATGTCAAAATCAGCCTGAAGAAAAAGCCAATCAAGGCCTAAATTTCCAAGTAATATAGGTCCCGAAGGAAAGATGAAGAATGACTGATTACCGAAAGACACGAGACGCAGAACTGTATATCCGAATATAAATAGTTTAAATTTAAAATAGAAAGAAGAACCAAAAAGTTTGCTGAATAACTGAATAAAAAAAACTACATATATTAAAAGAAGATCTTCTCTTTTATGGTCTCTTACGTGTATAACTGAATAATTAAAAGATCTTCTTTTTATGGTCCCTTACTTGTAATTTTCCTAGATTTGAATATGTGAGGTTATGATTTTATGTTATTTTTGAAAATTGAAAATAAATATTAATTATAACTTATAAGTTTGATTCGTTGTAGAGATCTTAAGAAAATGTTTTTCATTGCTCGGACTGTAAATGGGTTAATTAGGAAATTAGATCAATCTGTAACAAATATTTCAAAACCTCATTACTCAACATTCAATCAGGTTATAAATAATAATATTATAAGTTGTAATACATCAAGACAGTATTCAACTCCAACAGGTAAGTGTAGTAAAAATATATCGTAATTTTAAAGACATCTTTCCCAATATTTTCAGCTGAAAGTGAGTCAGAAATCAATTATGAAGAAATAGCAAATGGTGATAAGGAAATGGAATACAAATTGAAAATACTAGCTTTAGAAACTGAGGTAATGCGACAAGATGGAAAATCAGTTCCAGATAATTCTTTTCTTAGGCCTGATCATTGGAGGGAGTTGGTTACTAAAACATCTCGCTCTGCTCGGCAAAAGTATTTAGAATATCTGTTTAAAATAGAGAAAAAAAATGAAAATAGGAAGGTTTGTATATAATTTTGGATAAGCGAATTGATTTACCTACATCAACATATTTTTAGGAAAAGTCAGATGAAAGAAAAAAACATTATCAAGAGCATTTAGCTAGAAGAGAATGGGAAAAATCTCATAAACCTGAAGAGACTTTGGAAGAATTTGCTTTAAAACATGGTCTCCAACACAATAATATTTTCCTTAGATTTTATGATACAACTATAAACCAAATGTACAATAACAGGCTCATTCAAGCAATGCAATTTGGTCAAAAATTAGTTGTAGATATAGGATATGATACTGATATGAGCAGAAGAGAAAATTTAAATTGCGCCAAACAACTTATGTTGTTGTTTGCTGAGAACAGAGCACATGACGGTAAGTAAAAAGTTGTTTTTATTCTGCTTGAAGCTTAGAAATATGTATGTCAGCACTATTGAAGTAAAGAGTCTTCCTGAAAAAGCAAGGAGTACTCCAAGGTTTGGTCCTAGATCCTTTACCTTTTTGCAATATGTAAATGATTTGCCAAGTATTAAGATGATACATCAATTTGTTGCTGTTACTGCAATAGGTTGTATGTCATAAAAATATACTTTTCAGCTTACTTTTCTAAAGATACTGAAAAACATACCCACCATATCCAAATTCAAGTAGCCCTTCAAAATTCTAGATATTCCAGAAGTTTAATTATTATAATTGTAGTTGCCAAATACTATACCTAATTTGAATGCACATTATTCAGATATTTGTGTTGAACAGACTCCAATGACCTAATATGTACTTATATCATAAAGTGGAAACCAAACTGGCAATACATATCCCAATATTGACCTAACATTGATACTTCTCCCTTGCTGCCTTAGTGACAGAAGGGGCACAATAGATCTTTTAGGTTGCAGTGTATTAATACCACATACAAAAATCTTCAATATCATTGATATATAGTAAAAACAATAATGGTCTCAAAAGAGGGTACTTTATATTGAAGAAGGTGATTCCTACCTGTTCACATACAACAATCATACTATACCAGAGCATAATGAATGGAATTTCACACTTAAAACTGCAGAAGTTATCGGTATCACGTGCCAAATAGTCATAAATGCATGTTTATTGCCAAAATGTATTACGCCAGTGGCGTATAAAAACTATTGGCAAATTAAATGCGGTAATAGTAAATAATATTAGATGAAAGTAGGTTGGTTATCTATTTTTGGAGTAATAATCATTTATGTTTATAATTTTGTTTTGTTTATTGTTAAAATATGTAAATATTATGCCAGTGGCGTAGAAACACTATTGGAAAATTAAATGGGGTATTATACTAGAATAAAATATTGAAGAAGGTGCGTCTTAAAACTGCAAAAGGTATCGTTATCATATCAAAATGCACTCTTCCAGTGTCGCAGAAATACTATATTTGCAAATTAAATGGGTATTTGTGAATATTACTAGATGAAAGTAGGTTGGTTATCTATTTTTGTTATAATAATTCATCTATGTTTATAATTGTATTTTGTTTATTATAAAAATATGTAAATTAAGCTTGGTATCACTTATTTGAATTCTAAATCTATGAAGTTTCATAATCCATTGATTCTGCAGAACTATCACTGGAATCGTCTTTATCGTCGGAACTTAAAGTTATGACTAAAGGTTCAACTACCGTTTCGATCATACCGTCCAAGCGCCACATATTATTTTCTTCCTTAATTACATGGGAAATAGCATTCTGCCAATCTTCAGGTTTTATACATTCTATACCGGATTTTAATAAACTTTGAACGTCGGCTATTTTAAAAGTTTTATTTTCTCGAGCTACAAACCCATTCACTTGCGCCCAAATTAGTTCAATAGGATTTAATTCGCAGTGATAAGGAGAAAGTCTTAGTACCGTAATACCACGATCATGAGCCATTGTGTCGACAACATATTGAATATATTTATGGCGGTGTTCCTTTATTAGGTCCATTAATTCCACTTTAAGCATCTCCTCAGTAAATGTTATTGCTTTATCCCGCAGCCAGGTTGTGGAGCGCCGAGATATGCTGATTCTTCAGGGTGGTTCGTAGAAGCCGAAGAAGGTTACCCAATCAAACAAAAGAAATAAAACGTTAAGGTTTATTAATAATATTATCGTAGAACACAACACCAAAAACAATTTTATAATTTACCTAATACTTGTCAACAGAAAATTATCGTATTAAAAATGCCGAATACTAAAAATATTACGTTAAACCGGAACTGTATGACTTATCTTGACTGTGTCACAGTTCAACGGCCACTGACTGCCAAAAATGCATCTCCCGATCATCAGGTGATCTATTGTCCACCCCTCTCACCGCACTTCGCGCTCAAGCCAGACGGACAGTCGGCTCTAAAATTAAAAGTACAATCCAGGTACACATTTTTATATTTACTATTTAATTATACGGCTGGACTAAGAATGGAGTGCAGTTTGATTAATATTGGTACCTTACAAGGTTTGCATATCCGTTTTCCTACTGGACAGTATCGGAATGCGTTCAACTCGTCGACTGTGATAAAAAGCGTTATCTAGTACAATAACTGAATTTCGTTCTACACGCTGTAATACTTCAGTAAACCATTTTTCAAAGCATGTCGCATTCATGTCCTCGGGGTAGTCTCCTGTTTTTTCCAAGAGCACTATTTTCCAAAAATCCACTGTCACTTCCGATATGGGTAACAATTAGGCGCTGTCCTTTACCTGATGGTGCTTTTAAACCTGTAGATAATCCCTCTATAAAAGCTTGGCGATGACTAGTTACAGAAGTATCTTGCCATATCTTAGATACCGTGTGTCCAGCATTCACCCACGTTTCATCGAGATAGTATATCTTTTTTTAGCGGCTCTAAACTCTTTAATATTTCGTAAATAACGCCGTCGCCAGGACACTATATCTGATCTCTTAATTAAAATTTATTTCCTACACCGTTTGACAAAACGAAATTTTAGGCCCCATAAAATTTTTCGTAAAGTTTCACGGCTCATTAATGGAATTTCTTCGTTTTCTCTTAATTTCGTAAGAACAACTTTGTGTTGGGGCTTTGTTTTCTGTTTTCGAAAAAAAAAAAAAGAATGTACAGTTCTTCAAATGATTTGTTTTTGGTTATCGTCCAATTTCAACAATTTTCGACCACGGGTATGCGTTTTAGGGGCTTCTAAGGAGACTTTTTTTGTCTTTTCGCGTACAATACGTTCAATTGTTGAAACAGATACTCCAGTTAAAAAATAACTGCGGTTTACAGCTTCATTTGTAGGAAGTGTCTGTTTCAGCCCATCATACACTTTCCATATAATGTTCTTTTCATCCTTTGATAAGCGTTTTCGCCGACGTAATTGGGTTTCACTTGGACCCGCCTCTGAATCCATTACTATTGTAACACTATAATTCTATTAAATTTATAAAGACACCAACATTTTACTATTTAATAAACGTTTAAACTACCTACCTAATATACTACACAATAAATATAACTTCTCGAATATGCACTACCACTACCAAATTGTATGGCACAAACATGAACACCTACTCGTATATCAGAAAAGAGCACTTTTACAAAAAAGTGTTTATAAAATATAAAATATGTAATTATCGTAAATAGTTAAAGCGATACAAATCTAACTTCGTCGAAAGTTAGTTTTCAACTGTCTTTGTGCCTGTGCCGACAATATTCAATCTGTAACCCGTCTGTCGTTTATTTACTTGAAACACATTCATTTGTCATCGCCTCCAAATATTAGGGTATCATCTTACAAAATTTTACTCTCTATTGCAGAGTTAAAACTGATTTTAACTGATTTAGCGGTTTTGACTCTTTACCTGATCCACACATGGACGGACTTTTTTGTCTATTTAACTAAATGAATGGAACGATCAACGAAATTGCCAAGAACGGAGATGACACGTTTTTAAAAGCGGTGTTTTTACAACCATTAAACACATAACGAAGTCATTAGGAAATAAATATATTTATTTCTTGAAAACTATCAAAAACGTATATTTAACGCACGTTTAAATAAAGATGTTGACAAACAAATTTAATAAAGTTTACTAACAAATACCTAATAAATAATTATTTGGTATTTGATACGCCGCCTATGCTGACTCTGTTACTTTCCGTCGGAATTTTCATTCATAGATAACAGTGTTGATCATGCATATGACTCACCTTCTCCAATATTTTGTTCTAGTAGATCATTTATCCTCACTAGATGAACTTTGTTTTTTTAAACAGCTTTCAAACGAAATCAGAAAGGTCAAGCTTCTTCAATTTAATTTATCTTGTATATACACAGTTTTTTTACCTCTAATTTACGTTGCAGATCCGTTTGACATACATTTTTGCAATGCAAATAATGATGGTGATGTAATGAAACAACTGCGTAAATACATTCCCACCGCAGATGAGCCATGGTTTCCATTAAATTTACACGAATGTAGTTATTTAGATATGTTTCCCAAGGAGAAACTAGTGTATCTAACTCCACATGTTAGAGAAGAAATTAAAGAATATGATCATGATGCTATATATATTATTGGTGGTATAGTTGATAAGGTTAGAGATTTTTAACTTATTTTTTTATGAAAATGTAAATGTATCCATATTTTAGATGAACCAAGATCCATTGTCTTTAGCCAAAGCCAAAAGGGAGGGTTTAAAAATGGCAAAACTGCCGTTAGATCGGCATCTGTCCTGGGGTGCCGGTTCAGGGAAAAGCCTCACTCTAAACCAAGTGGCAGCGATTTTACTTGACCAAAAGGTATCAGGGAATTGGGAATACTCCCTAAGACATGTTCCTAGGAGGAAATTATTAACGGAGGAAAATACTTTAAGAACTATTGATAGAGTTTATGACAGAAGAAGGTTCAATACAGACAGGGCACGGTCTAATCCCAATTTTGGCAAAGTGAATTTCGACAAATTGAGTTATAACAGTAACAGTCCAAAGTCAAGAAGTAATGAAAACAGAGAAAGAAATTCGTTTAATGTTAAAAATATTTTTAACGATTAGATTGTATATTATTTAAAATTAAAGAAAAGAATGTATTGTTTAATTTTATTTAAAACGAGAACGTGGACCTTCCAGTCAGTCAGTAGTTTGATTTGAGTAGGCTGTGGCCTTAATAACGCATGTATAGATGGCGCCACTCATGTAATAATTTTGACACTTAAATATTAAATATACGTAAAATATTATTTAAAAAAAATTAAAGCGTCATAATTCATGATATATAAAAATAAACTCACATTTGTAAGAGATTTTCTCGACACAGAATATAACATTCATTTTTGACGCCTTAAAATCGACAAACGGGCGCCAGTTTTAAGTCCATATAAACTGCTTGGCAGATTTACTCAGCTGGGCGCTTCTTTGAACGAAAATGGGAAGTTCGGATATATCACGAGAATTTAAGAGATGGATAGTAACAAATCCATAACTGTACATTATATTTATGAATTTGTTACTGTCCACCTCTATATTCCAATGCAACACTGGACTCGCCTGGAACTCTAGTGTAGCTTGCAAAAGGATTCTGGCAGGTTCAGATGGAGATACAGAAATTTTCAGGGTCAATGCTGTACATTTACGGGCTTTGATCGTTATTGATACAACTTTAAACTCCCAAAGGCTAAAAATTATTAAATAGGGTCAGATACACGGTTAAATAACCACAATGATAAGGTAATCGGGAAAAAATATTTCACAGAAGACTATCCTGGTTTGAAACTATGAACTCCATAAAGCTAAATATTCAACTAGAAAACGATTTCCAACCCTTGCACTGAAAGCTGCCCAGATACCTGATTCAGGCAGCTTCAAATAGAGATACTGAAAATTCCAGAGTCAACTTGTTATCAAACTTTAATTGTATGGGCTTTGCTATTTAATGACACTGAATGGGCTGCGAGTTTAAAATACAGGGCGATTTGAAATCAAACATTTTTAAAAGATAAAATACGTGTGGCACGCGAGGACTGCCGCGGTAAAGCTATTGCATAGCATTTTTTATCAACTTATGCAATTATAATTATTTATTTTATTTATGCAGTATTTTTTTCTTTGATATTAATTCAAGTTTTTTCTTTGATATTAATTCAAGTTACACTTTTTGAGCGTGGTGACCGATAAGAAAACAATTTTTTTTCTTTTATTGAATAAATGAGAAGTTAATATTGTTTAAAATATTTTTATTATCTTACAATATATGTAGGTTATTCAGGAATTTTTATCATTGAAACAATAGGTTTATGGTAACTGAAATAAGAAACATAAGTTTGAGACTTGATATCCTCTAAATATCTGGAAAATACCGCGTCAATGGTGGTCCCATATTTTGGTGTGGATTCTTGTGGATCATTATTCATTTTCAAATTCAATTTTTCCGAAATTGTGTCAAAAAGAGATAGAATCCGTTATGAGCAGTTAGTCTACACGCATACGTCTAGTCGCACGCACATAAACACCGTGCCGAAGTCTGCCGAACTGAAACGACGTTAGACGATTCACGGCTTTCAACGCCGCACTGGTCGGAGTGGGGGGTGTTTGGTTTTTTTCGTTACGGTTTCGTTTTTTTTTTCTTGATTCGGTCGCCGCGCTTACAGCTTTGCAATAGCTAAAAATTAATATCTAATATTTACGCCAGCCGGGAACATTTGTGATACCAATTTATTAGAAGCCAGAGAAAGCCTTCTTGTTCTTGTAATGCATAAACGTTCCAGTCCACAGACGTATATTTAACTCCGCTTCATACTAATATGAATAGGGTCGGATTCAGATAAAACCTTCCACGTCATTCACCGCTGTGCCGGTCGGAGTGGGGGGTGTTAGGTTTATTTTAGTTATGGTCGTTACGGAATTTCTTGATTCGGTCGCCGCGCTCAAAGCCCGCGATAAAAGCTATGCAATAGCTTAATAAAAAAGAGTTTCATTACACAATAATTATTTATTAGATATTAGGTTTATAAAGAATATTTACAAGTTATTTCTTATCTAATTTCAAAAATCCGGAACTATTAGAAAAGTATTTAGCATTCGCTTCATTGACTTTTACTTCAGCAGCTTGAGGATTCACGATTTCTAACCCTTGCAGTGGAGTAAAAGCCACACTGGAAGCTGTACCGGATATCTGCTTTTTAACAGTAGTGCTCCCGCCCCAAATCTGCTGCTTCTGTAAATTCTTCTGCAGCGTTTTCGATATTCTAACTTTAGTTTTCTCGTCAACTTGAGGCAGACGGATTCGTCCGGTACCAGCTTTACCGATAGTACCTCTGGTGTAACCTAAATCTTCTTGATAAGCATCATCTTCTATATCGGCAAAGTTCATTCTATTGGCGTGCTTGCGGAATTCGGTCAAAGCGTAGCGCTCCTTCATTTTCCTTACCCGCTTCCCACCTCGTTTCTTTTTAGACTGGTCTATAGGCTTAGGAAGTGGCTTAATAAACTTAACAGGAGGAGGCTCTTGTAGTTTATCTAATTTTCTTTCTATTTCATCCCTAAGTTGTCTACCAATATGCCCATCTGAACTCTCATGACAGGCATCAACTCTTGCAGCAAGAGTGGATTTTGTAGACACTAATCTAGCAGCTTTTCTTCTTAAATCAGGAGGGGTATTCTGTACAATCTCTGAATAATAAACGAATCCAGTGTTGGGTAGCATAGTGGATTGTGAAAAACCTGATAATGACTTTTTTTGCTGTCCCAAAAGTAAAACATTACAGGCTGGGATTTTTGATAACCTTGTTAACCCTCCTGCTACCCCCATTATTTTCGCGGCAATAGATGAGCCTAATATAATTGATATATTAGGAGCTATAAATGACATTCTACTTTCTACATATTCATATATTTTTAATTTGAAGTTATTTAGCTCCATAGCCATGTCGCATGCTTCATTTATTTGTTCTTTTTCAAACTTGCTTAATAACGTACCTTGAGTTGTTGACGCTGTTACTGAAACAACCATAATGGTTGCTTGAGTTAAAAATTGTTGTAATATTTCATTGTTCTTTGCTTGATCTAAATCATTACCTAACTCTTTAACTGTTCTAACATATTCTAATGGACTTACCACCAACGATTCAAGTTCTGGGAATCTTTTTTGGTACTTATCTCGTACGAATTTATGCACAGCCATTATTTCATTATCTATATCTTGTGCTAAATTATTTGCTTCTACTATCAGTTGATACTCTGCATCCGATTCCACTGGTCCTACAATTTCCACTGACTTTCTGATTTTATTTCCATACATTTCAATTTGTTTAATTATGATCTGTAATTTTTTCGAGTCTCTAAGTTTACAAATGTCGCGAACTGAATATATTTGTGTAGTGTCCTGTTCCATTATTAATTCTGATATATCGGGTTTTTCTTCCTTCTCCTCAATTTCTTCATCTTCCATCGGCTCGTCGTTGTCGTCATGATCATGTTCTTCGAGATCGGCCAACAATTCATCCGCCAAAGACATTTTTAAATCGGTAGTAAACAAAAACAAACGTATTACAAACGTTACGTTGACGTTTTGATTAACGAAATAGGTTAATTTCTTCGTCTGTAAGGTCTATTTATGTGACCTTTTATAATATACTATAAACGTCACTCTTCTTCTTTTTATTTATTATTTCCTTTTACCAATTGTTATTCTATTTACTTCTCTTCATTACGGTATCAGAAAAGAATAGGGGGCGACGAATATTAGAAAAGAAGAATTAAAGCGTTATCTGTCACTGTCATTAGTGTCAAATTTTTTAGCTGTGTTGAATGATGATAATTTTGATTTATGGTAAATATTTATATTTTTTGCCAAAACCTGGTCCAAATAGAAAATGTCATTGTGAAATTGTTAGTGTTACTACTCCTACGCAATACGGTAATGCAAAATTACAAGAAAATTAGATCGAAGTAAATTTCTAATAGCAGTTCCCAACTGTTACCATATTGTGAATGTACTTGTGAAGGGTTTGAAGTTTGCATTAAATTTAGATAAAAATACGGGGGATTTACCCGATTTGATTTATCAAAAAGATAGTTATGTTGTTTTATTTCCTTATCTCGTATTGGAATTGTATAAAAACTAGATTTTACCAAAACTATTTGTCATTATGAAGTAACAGTCTAACTAGGATAGATAATTGTAGTTACATAAAAGATTCCTACGTAAAAATAAAATTTATTATTGAAATATTTGATATTAATTCAGCAAAACAACATTGTTATTTTGTAATTGATTTGTTTTATTTGATTTATTTTTGTTATTCAAATATTACAACCTTATGGGAATGTAACAATTTGAACTACTCACCCATATGCTATTTAAATATTTGCACTATCAGTCTTATATATTTTTTTAACATGTCTTATATACAACATTTGCATGATGTAATTAATGACTTTTCGATGTATTTTTGTAATAATATTTTAGTATTGTGCAATCAGTACTTCTATATTGATAAAATATACTTAATACTCAATTTTTTTTCTAGATTTCTCTAATATTAGGTTTAATATTTAATAGATTAATTTTTTTCAAATTTTGAACATAATATGTACCTAGATTACAAAAATTTAGCTGGTATTCCCCCACCTTTTATCTCCATATTTGACTACACTATATAAAGCCACTTATACATTTATATTTTCCAGAATAACTGACACCACAGCCAGACATTCTTTATAAGATTTAGTATGCTCTTACTACACATTAGGAAATTTTGTGTAATTGAAGTCTTTACGTTAACGCCGTAAAAAGTTTAGTGAATTTGGAATAAGAATTTTTTTAGTGTCATGAGTGATAACAAAGAGTCATTGAGCTCCTTTGTGGAGAAACAGGAGCGGCAGTCTGATTATGATAAGATTTTGGGTAGGAAGGTACTAGTGGCACCTACTGAAGAGCAGTACGAGTTACTGCTTACTAGGTTGAGACAGCAATTAGGCGAGGGTAGAGGAGAGGTTATCTTAGAGGTAAGAAACAGAACTAAACTTGCTCTTAAATATTAATACGAATTTTTTTTCGTTTTAACCTAGGTACTTATTTGTATATAATTTATTTACATTTTACACCAAATTAAAAAAATAAGATTACTTAGATCAAATATTTTTCAGTCTAGGTATACTGTCTTCAAAACAAATTGTTAGAAGATAAAAAACAACACATTTATGTTGTTTATTTAGTAAAAAAATCTATTTGATAAAAATAAAATGTTACAAATAAATACATAAATAGCTACGTATCCAGTGAAATAATATCATTAAAAAAAAGTATTATATATTAGCACATTTCATAAATTCAATATCCATTGTTTATAACTCAATAGTTTTTGTTGTATAAATGACTTTTTAGGAATTTTTGTAATACTCTTTTAGTATTGTGCAATCAGTATTTCTGTATTAATAAAATATATTTAATTTTTTTTGTCTACATTTCTCAAATATTAGTTTTAATATTTTAATGAGTCAATTTTTATGTATTAAAAAAAATGACTAAATTAAAACATATTTGAAATAGTTTTTATGACTTAAAATTGCATCATGTTGCACTCTTTATCATTATGAGACAATGGGAATTACCCATTTTAGATGATAAGTAATGTATTAATAATCATCTCAAATAGAGGCGATCTCATTTAAAAAATATATATATCGATAATTTTACATAAAATGGTATTGTTTTAATATCTTAATTTAGTTTCCAAGAAAATGTAAAAAATAGATTCATTTAAATAGATGCAGTAAAATAAACAGAGCACTCATTGTAATCTTCCCAAGGGGAGATTTATGAGTGAGTTTAATATTATTTTAAGCAAATTATTTTAAAACATTTTCAATATTTCATACCTAAGTCCTAAAATAAATAAAAATCAAAAACAGCTGGATAGATAACTAAAAGTAAGAAAAAACAAATAATTAAAAAAGGATAGGTATATACTTCCCATTGGAAGTTGTTTATTATTTCAAAAATATTTTTTAAATGGAAGATCCTGTATTAATTAAATGGTGGTATAACATACATAAAAAATTGAGAAAATCATAACATCACATTTTAACAGACTATATATAGAACATAGCTAATGAGTGAAGCCTATTAAAATTGTTTGATGATGTGAAAACAATAAAACTACCTGCAGGGTGTTTTGCTTTAAAAATATATGGGTTTGGTCGGCCCCTATTTTATGGAGCACCCTGTATATTTAAGAATAATTGTTAAATATGGTCATGTAAATAATAATATTCGGCTTTGAGACATACATATTTACAATATTTTAAAAAGGTTAAAAAATGTATAAACATTATAAGATTATTTATTGTTCCGGCCTTTACTTAATGAAAATCCATATTATCTTAAATGAGTAAAACCAAATTTGGTAGATTTTCACAAAACTTTTATTTTAAAAAAATAAAAAACACTACACATGACATGTTTCGAAGTACAACTTCTTTTTCAAATGTGACTAATTTACAATTCGGTGTCCAATATATATGCCAAGTAATTAAGAAAATACATCAATAACATAACAAAATAAACTGACTATTTAAAGTAAATAAGGGTACTTAAGTAATTATGATATCAATCAGATAACAATAAGATAGTATCATTACCGGGATTATCTCACAGAAAACTAGGAAAGAGATTTAATAAAGGTGAGTTATTAATATCTAATTGATCATTTAGTAGGTTATCTGAATTTTTAAATCTATTTATTTCAAGTGTTTCTAAATGGTTTAGTTTAATGCCCTTATTTTCTATATCTAAAATTTCAAAGTTGTCTGTAAAAGAATTATTTTCAGCCAAAATATGATTTGAGTAAGTAGAATTATTATTTTCTTTTTTTGTATAGCTATTATAATGTTCGGAATAGCGCTTTTTGAAAGTACAGCCTGTTTGACCAATATACAATTTTGGACAACTACCACAATTTAATTTATATACCCCCGATTTATTATTAGGATTAATTTTACCCTTATTGTTTTTAATATACTTCCCAAGCGTATTATTGGTTTTGAAAGCTATGTTAATATTTTGGTTTTTTAAATATGATGATACCTTTTCACTAGGAGCTCCTATATATGTAAGAGTCTTATATCTGCAATTTTGATCTTTAATTATGGGATAAACTTGTTGAATAGCATGTTTAAAAAGTTTTTTCCCTAAAATGTTGTCTACTAACTATTTGTTTAATGATATTTAATTCTTTTGTGAAGTTCTCTTTGGTAAGGGGGATATTAACTAATCTATGGATCATACTGTTGTATGCTGCCAGCTTTTGTTTGTATGGATGAGATGAACTATTATTTATTGTAATATCAGTATGTGATGGCTTATGAAATATCCCAAAACTATGGCCTCTATTAATTTTAATAATATTGTAAGTCTAAAAAATTAATTGAATTATCCTTCTCTGTTTCCATAGTAAATTTAATATTAGGGTGTATAGTATTGATAAAAACTAATAAAGAATTTAACTGTCTACTAGTACCAGTAAAAGCAGTCAGTATATCGTCAAATCTATGCCAATAAAAACAATGTTTACTTAAATTATTGCTATGAATTTTATGTTCTATATTATCCATAAATATTTCTGCAAGCAACGGGCTTAATGGGTTCCCCATAATAAGACCTTCATTTGCTGAGTAGATGTTATTTTGAAATTGAAAATAATTTTGTGACTGGCATTTGATTGGTATCCGAGAAATTTTCATCTAGTAGGTTTGCTTCCTGGTTGTTCTTATATCTGTTTTCATCTTTTCTAAAGTCACAATGGTAGATTGCTACCCCACGTGGCCAGAAACTTCCAGTGTACGTCTGGTCCATAAGATCATATTGCATGCTGATTTTAAAACATTTGTTATTAGCAGTTTTTTTGTATGTTGATAATTGCTTCACAGATAACAGATCTTTTCTGTCACACTTTTTTTCTAGATGTGTTATGACCATATTTTCTGTGATGTGATCTTTAACCTTGCTGATAAAAGCCACAATCGTTTTTCTTTAGCTATTCCTACAAAACTGTTTAGTTCTTCCGCATCATCTGTACCATTTATTAACTCGGTCATAATAGCTAATTGTCCTTTTTTTAAGTTTTCATGTTTCCTTAGTTACTATTTGCGTTACTTCAGCATAATCGATTTTCTGTTTATTTACTTGATTACTAATATTTTGTTTCTTATTTCTTTGAAGAATTTGGGGACTAGGGAGTCCCTTTTTTTGGTAATTAAGTTTATCTATAGTTGACCTAGAAACAGGTACTTCGTTATCAACACTAAACAAGTTTTTTTTGTTTCTTATTTTTGTTTTAGGACACCCTGTATATGTGTTAGTGGTTAACATATTGGTATCGTTGGATAGATAAATTTACAAGGAATTTTATTTTAAAATAACATACAAGGCGTTGCATTTGAAAAAATTGAACTTAAAATTATCCATATTTAAGACATGTGTCAAAACACTCTCTGTATAAAATAATCCAGTTCTATCACCACCATTCGTAGCTTAGTATCTTATGAGTCTGTATTTTAAACATTTTTGAAATCATTGTTATTCTACCTAAATAATAATTATAATTTAATTTGGGGTCTGCATCATTTTCTAATTAAAAAAAATAATGAATTGCTTGGCAACAATGTAATATTTTTAAAAAAAGTTTAGGGTTGAACACAATATTACCAAACCATTATAAAACTGAAATAAAATACAGAATGTTCTATTTAAAAAATATACATTTTTATTTGTCACATATAAACGCAACACCCTGTATATCCAAAAATATTTTTTTAAATGCGTATTTTTAAATTTACATAAATTGTATTTGAAACTTGTTTTGCCTATTAATAATACAAATTGAAATATTGAACAATTACGCACTAATGGGAAGGTAATATACTGTGCGATCCATTTGTATGAAATGAAATTAATGTTTAGCGTTATTATGTATTTTTTGGAAAAATAGCTGAAACAGATTTATTTCTATTCTTAATTCGACAATTTATAGTATGAAAATATTACCGCTCTCTTGCACCCCTTTGAAATATGATCACTCCCTCGAAAATTTTAAATAAGATAGGAAGTCGTGTTGCACCTTGTTTGAAAGGGATTTTAATTCTCTCCTCAACAATATAAAGTTTTTTAAACTTGGTGCAATCATAATAGAAAATTAATTTTGAAAATGTAAAATTTTGATATCTCATTCACAAAACTTTACATACATTTTAAAAACACGTTGTATTGATACGTGGCAACGCTGTACAGATATGTCACTGTTATCGACTTTATCCGACACTAATAATTAGAAAGTCGTCATTTCACGAAAACCTGATTTGGGTTGTTTTTGCCTATCTATCTAATTGCAGGGATTATAAATATAATCCTCATTAAGTCTGATATTATCTAGATTGGAGGCTCAGATGACGGTTCCGAAAATGGTCTCCTAGAAGACGAATTAGACGCCGCTGTTGCCACACTTCAGTCTCTAGCTAACACTTTAGAATGCAGTTGTGTAAAGTTAAGAGAGCGCAAAGAAACTCGTGGCGTTGTTGTCCAATATTTGATCAGAAGGGTGCTGGATCAATCGGGTAAGCAATTAGTAATAGTAACTAAAACATTTTTTCCTATACATGACAAACAGCAACAATTGTCTTCTCAAAGAGGACTCTCAAGCTGAATATTTAAAATTTCTGATGTTCTCTTTCTTTCAACACAAGCGATTTACCTAGTGTAGGAAAAATATAATGTTTGAACCATGGTGGAATAGCAATTTTCCGCGTAGGTATATAATATACTGTTTTTAGACTTTTTGGAAATCCGCGTGGCAGTCGTAGGCAATGTAGATGCTGGAAAATCTACGTTACTGGGTGTGTTAACCCACGGAGAATTAGACAATGGCAGAGGACACGCCAGGCAAAGGTTATTCAGGCACAAACACGAAATGGAATCTGGCAGAACTAGTTCAGTCGGAAATGACATTTTGGGATTTGATGAAAGGGGTGAGATATGTTAAATTTCTGGATCATATACAATCGATGTACACAATATACCACTGGGACATCATTTACAATAGAAATCTTTCAAATGTCAACCTCTTTTTCCTTCCACTTCTTCAACCAATTAATTTTAAATAGGGAATGTTACCATGTGTGACATATCATTGAAAAGGGGAGAATTTGACATATGAAAGACGACTATATCAGAAAAAGATGTAACTTTGATTTCCTCAAATAGTGTTCCAATTTAGGAAATAATTTATTTGAAATTTTAGGGAATATTGTGAATAAACCGGAACATGGGTCCCTGGATTGGGTGAAAATTTGTGAAAAAAGTTCAAAAGTTATTACATTCATCGATTTGGCTGGTCACGAGAGGTACCTAAAAACCACTGTCTTTGGAATGACAGGTCACGCGCCAGACTTTGGAATGTTAATGGTAATCATATATTTTCTGCACTAATATTTCTAAAATGTCTTTTACATGTTTTTCTATTGATTTAATGGCCCTAGGCAGCTAATGATTTCTCCATATTTGACCCCTCTAGATTTATTTGCATTACCCTATATTAATATTACAGGTGGGGGCTAACGCCGGTATCATAGGCATGACAAAAGAGCACTTGGGGCTGGCTCTGGCGCTTTCTGTGCCAGTTTTTGTGGTAGTCACGAAAATCGATATGTGTCCCGTCAATGTTCTTCAGGACAATCTCAAAATGCTCGTGAGGATTTTGAAGTCGCCGGGTTGCAGGAAAGTGCCAGTTATGGTCAAAACTTCCGATGATGTCGTCTTGAGCGCAACCAATTTCGTATCAGAAAGGTAAATCAAAAATATGACCTAATATATGAAATATTTAAAATACTTCAGCTCATTTATTTTATTTAACATCTATTTACTTTTTCTTCTTAATTTTTAACCTCTAATAGCAAAGAATTCAAAGTATATAACAAATTTTTGTAAAAATAGTCTAATTATTAATTTTTTTAGACTCTGTCCGATCTTCCAAGTGTCTAACGTTTCCGGTGAAAATTTGAGTCTGCTGAAAACTTTCCTCAATTTGCTCACCACCAGGATGGAGTACCACGAAAATGAGCCAGCTGAATTCCAAATTGACGACACTTATTCTGTGCCAGTAAGTACAAACTTACTTAAGTTAGCTGGCTTGCTCACCTGATTTAACCCTTATTTAATATTTCCTAATTATTGCTATCATTATTTTTTATATTGTCAGCTCACTGACCTGATTTAATCTCTACTTATTTTTGATTATTTAATGTAGGCGACACGCTCACCTGATTTAAACCTTATTTATTTTTTTTGAAATATTTCCAGTTCGCTCACCTGATTTAACCCGTATTGATTTTTAAAATATTTTTATTGCACCGACTCGTTCACCTGATTTATTCGCCATTGATTTTAATTTATAGCCGGCACACTTTGCTGATTTAACCCTTTTTCTCGGAATTATTTTTATAATATAGCCAACACGCTCACCCGATTTAATACATATTTATTTTTAAAATTAGTTTATAGTGCCGACTCGCTCACCTGATTTAGTTTCCATTGATTTTTTATCATAGCCCGCCACTGCCCTGATTTAACTTTAGTTGCTTTTTCTTGGAATTATTTACATAATGTAGCCAGCACGCTCACCCGATTTAATCTCCATTAATAATAATAATAATAATAATAGTTCTTTATTTCAGGAGTATGTTACAGATACATAAAACGAAATAGAGTCAAACAAAATACATGAACAATATTGTCTTAGGTCATCAAAAACTCATTTAGATTATATGGTTCTCTGTTAACTAAATATATAAATAACACTTTCTTGACTTCTGTCAATTCATTAATTGTTTTAATATATCTGGGGAGACTGTTAAATATTTTGATACAATTGTAGTAGGCTCCACGTTCTGTCATTGTAAATTTGTGGTGTGGATAGACATAGTCTTGGTTTCTAGTGAGATATACCGACTGCGATTTACTAGTGTCGAAAAGATGTTTGTTTTTAATAAAAAACAAAACACATTCCTGTACATTTAATTTTAAAATTAGTTTTATAGGGCTGACTCTCACCTGATTTAATGTCTATTGATTTTACTATTTTTGATTATATAATGAAACCTGATTTAACACTTATTGATTTTTCTTGGAATTATTTATATAATGTAGTCAGTCTGTTAGCTCACCTGATTTAATACCTATTGACTTTTTTATTGAGTTATGCCTGCTCGCTCACCTGATTTAATCTAAATAAAGGAAAATGAAATGTTTGTCTATACCGGGTGTTCAAATTAAAGTGTTACAGTTAAATACCGCCGAAAATATGCATTTTAGAAAAAAAAAGTTTTAGACAAAAGTTATATAGTTTTTGGGGGAAACATTTTGTATAAATTAATTTTTTTATAGCTTACCATAATATGGCCATATCGAGGTGAACTTTGTTTTTTAAATATTCTTAAATTACATAAAAAAATAGGAAACTTTTGATGGAAATATTTTTTTTATTGGACTTTTACTTTTTGAGTAACAGCTACTTTTGAGTAATTTTGCTAGGAAAAAAAAAGTTGGCTATATTATGGTTGGTAATAAAAAACGATTTTAGCCAATATTTTTTCCCCACAAAACTTTCGTCTGAAACATTTTTTTTTATAAAAGGCGGTATTTAGCTGTAACGCTTTAATTTGAACACCCGGTATAATGTAGACGGCACGCTCACCTAATTTAATCCCTATTGATTTTTAAAATTATTTTTATAGGACCGGTTCACTCATCTGATTTAGTCCTCATTGATTTTTATTTTTTAATATAGCCCACACCACACTGACCTGATTTATCCCTTGTTGCTTTTTCATGGAATTATGTATATAATATATCCAACACGCTAACCCGATTTAATCCCTATTGATTTTTTTGTAGCACCGACTCGTTCACCTGATTTAATCTTCATTGATTTTTATTATAGTTGGCACACTCACCAGATTTAACCTTTATTAATTTTTCTTGTAATTATTTACATAATGTAGCTGGTTTGCTGACCTAATTAAGTCCCTATAGATTATTTAATATATTTTTGTAGTGCCGAATAGCTCACCTGATTTAGTCCTCATTGATTTTTTTAATACAGCCTGGTACGCTGACCTGATTTATGCCTTCTTGTTTTTTCTTGAAATTATTTATATAATGTAGCCAACATGATCACCCGATTTAATCCCTATTGATTTTTAAAATTACTTTCGTAGCACTGACATGCTCACATGATTTGATCTCCACTGATTTTTATTATAGCTACCACACTCACCAGATTTAACCCTTATTGATTTGTCTTGTAATTATTTACATAATGTAGCCGGATCGCTGACCTGATTTATGCCTGCTTAGTCTCGATTTAATCTAAATAAAGGAAAAGGAATTTTTTCTTTTTATAATGTAGCCGACACGCACACCAGATTTAATCCCCGTTGATTTTTTAAAATTATTTTATAGTGCTGACTGACTCACTTGATTTAGCTGCCATTTAAATTTATTATAGTCAGCCAACTCACCTGATTTAATCTTTATTGATTTTTCTTCTAATTATTTACATAATGTAGCCCTTTTGCTCACCTGATTTGATCTCTATTGATTTTATTGTTTTTGATTATATGGTGTAGCTTAATTTAAACCTTATTGATATTTTCTTTTATTTATATGATGTAGTTGGTTTGCTTACATGATTTATTATTCATTGATTTTTTATTAAATTATTTTTATGTGGCTTGCTCACTCACCTGATTTATTCTAAATAAAATAAAAGAAAATAATAATGTATTGATTTTAATGTATTGATTTTTGATTGCATAATGTACCCTGCACGCTCACCTCATTTAACTATTATTGATTTTTTCTTAAAATTCGCACAATGATTTAACTATTATTGATTTTTTTTTCTTGTAAATATTGTCGGTTGACTCACCTGATTTAATTTAACCTCAAGTTATTTTTCACTATAAATGTAATAGGCACGCTCACCTGATTTGACCCGTATTGATTTTTCATATAATTATGTATATAATTTAGAATGTATGCTCACCCAATTTAATCCATATTGATTTTTCCTTGAAATATTTTTATAATTAGACGCATCTTTCACTTTGATTTAGTCTATTGCTTTTTATTTTCTATTATAGCCGACACACAAGCTTGATTTAACCCTTATTGATTTTTTGAAGTTTTTCAAAAATAGTTATTAGGTCAATGTGGTGAGTGATTTAATTTCCTTTTTTATTTTCAAGGGTGTAGGAACGGTCGTTTCCGGTACGACGCTGAAGGGCGTGATAAAACTGAACGACACGTTAATGCTGGGACCTGATCCCTTAGGGCGCTTCCAACAAATAGCGGTAAAAAGCATTCACAGGAAGAGGATGGCAGTTAAGGAGGTCAGAGCGGGACAGACGGCGAGCTTTGCGCTCAAAAAGGTAAATTTCTAAACAGGTGTGCCACGAGGATCGGCTTTGGGGGCGATACAGTTTCTCGTAATTTATACACGATGTTTTAATATCGTTTTAGATTAAAAGATCGCAAATCAGAAAAGGAATGGTTATGGTGGCGCCCATATTGAATCCTCAGGCTTGCTGGGAATTTGAGGGGGAAATTTTGGTTTTGCATCATCCTACAACCATCAGTTCACGTTATCAAGCAATGGGTAATTTTTTTTTTTTTTTTAATTAAATCGCCCAATTTATGAAAAATTGTTTACAGTTCATTGTGGAAGTATCAGACAGACAGCAAGTATCATCAGCATGTCAAAGGATTGTCTGAGGACGGGCGATAAGGCTTTGATTCACTTCAGATTTATCAAACATCCCGAATATGTGACGCCCGGCCAAAGGATGGTTTTCAGAGAGGTAATTTCTGTCAATGTCTTGTATTCTTACAATATTCTTATTGTTACGCATTATGGTCGTAGAAAAAATCATGTACATTCATTCTGTTTCTGTTTAAATAGCTATCTTAAACATTATCAATATTTCATAAAACTATTCCCTTGATTTAGGGAAGGACGAAAGCCGTCGGTAACGTAATTCGCATAGTTTCTCACTCTACGCCCGTACACCAAGGAAACAGATCGAAGCAAACCAAGCAACAGAGATATGGCGGTGGACAGCAGCAGAGAAACGACAAGAATCACGTGAAGAACGAAAATATACAAGAGGTAATGATGGTCATTATTATTAGGGTATAATAAATATTAATAGGTGATATTTAATATTGATAAGCGATATTAAAGGTTAATAGGCGATATTAAGTATTAATAGGCGTTATTAAATATTGTTAGGTGATATTAAATGTTAATGAACGATATTAGATAGTAATAAGTTATATTAAATGTTAACAGGCGATATTAACTATTATTAACCGATATTACATGTTAATATATGATAGATATTAAATATTAATAGGAGATATTAAATATTAATAGTCGATATTAAGTATCATTTAATAAGTGATTTTATTTTGTTAAAGGGTGCGGTAGACCAGGAAATGACCGAGAACGGCCAAGAGGATGGTCTAGAGAAAAGTTCGCTGTTGCACAAGTCAGGTGGTGGTGTAAAGAAAGGCAAAAGTCGACGCGGTGGTCGGGGGAAGTCCAATAACAACAACCCCTCGTTGAGTCTATCGTCTAAAACGGCACTACCCGACGTCACCAATTTAACTTCTCTATCGACGGTAGCCAACAGAAATTCTACTACAAAAGTGCAATAGATTTGACAGATGCCATTCACTTTTTAGATTTTTCCGGTTCGACTGGCAACATTGTGGATGTGTCACATCGCCACATCAGTTTTTTCATAATTAATCATTATAAAAACCAAGGAAACAACGTACTCATAGCAAGTGATCTGAATAATTTTGCTGGTCAGTTCAAGTTAGGAAGGGTAACGTTTTTTTTTGCTTTGCACCACCTAATTTGCTGAATTAATGCGTTACTTTCTAAAACTATCGAACTGACAAGTAATGTTATATTTGACATTTGACAGGTAACGAACTGGCACTGGCGGCTGTCAGTTTCATTAAGACAACAGTGATATTTTGTATTAAGCACATTTCTAGCAATAATGTTTTTTATTTTAAACATTGCATATTGTTACAAAAAAAAAAATGATGTGATGTAAACATGTCCTCGAATACAGCTAGTAAGTAGTACTGTAGGATTTTTCAAAACAATGTGAAATATATTTTGATAAATTTCGGAATGTTATTTTTTATACACAGATTTAACAATTTTATTTTAATTTATTTATTTGGATGGTTTCCTCTAAATAGATTCTTCGTTTTTATTATTCAGAATATTATTTTTTGTTTGGTTCCAAGGAACTGACATATCGACTGTCAGAAATGGATTGTGACAAACTTGTCGAAATTTTATATTTGTTTTCTTCAAATTACTGTAGTTTGATGTTACCATTTTTTTTGAAAGATTAAAGTTTTTAACTAAACGTCTTTTAATTTCAATTTTTTTTAACCCACCTTTATATAATTGTTACCTATAGATCCCCTTTCAAGAATTTTTAGATAGAATAGAACTAATGTTATCACAATTGCCAGTGAATGCTACCATCATTCTGACGGGTGATTTTAATGTTAGTTATTTAGACAGTTCACTCAGCACTATACGTAATTTAACCACTGTTTTAAATTGTTTTAATTTGACAATGCATGCAAGAATTACAAGTACCTTGGACTACATTTGTACTAATGTGAGTAAAGCAAATATTAACTGCGGTGTTGTCACTTGCAGCTTTTCTGATCAAGATGCGGTTTTATGCGACGTCTATCAGCAGCAGCTCACCTCATAGACGTATATTTAGTCAGTCAGCGTTTAGTAGGTTCTCACAAATATGTAGTAATGTAAGTTGGCACAATATTTTAATAGAAGCTGAACCGTTGAAACATTTTCATAGTCAGTTACAAAAACTTTTTGATAAGGCATTTCCTCCTAGGAAAATAAAAAAAAGTTGGGTTACTAAAGGCTTAAGAATATCATCCAGAAATTTACGTTCTTTGGATTTAATTAAAAGGTATACTTATAATAGCAGGGGAGCCCACGATGCTAAATGGGGATTTACTCGAGCGTCATAGAGACCTATTGGGTTGCAAAGCTTAGATGATAAGAAGAAAAAAATGTCATATAATATATACCTTTTCATCGGTGGGGGAAGCGGGTATTGATTTTTAAATATGTAAAAAAATACTGTTGCATGAATATACTCGAGCGCGTCAGATATTGATAGTATCAATGTCCTACGTATTTTTAATAATGTACGTTTGTTAATCTGATCGTTTGCATGATGCGTGTGGTTGTACGTAAGGGTTGAAAATAAAAAAAAAATATCGAGCGCGTCAGATTTTCTAAGGGGGTGTTAAGTGAACCAAAAAAAGCTCTCATTCAATAATCTGACGATTTCGATGTGACGCAAACTCGCGGCCATTATTAAAATGTGCAAACAAAATTCGCCATTTTGAAATACTCAAGCGCGTCAGATTAAGATATATGGTTTATCTTTATGTCCTAGACGTGCTGTCTCATAATCTGACGATTATCTAGAGGGATTCGCCTAATCTGACAAAAAAAATATTTTTTTTTATTTGCTGAACACCCTACCCTGTATAATAGTGTTAATGTGTTAGTGTAAATGTTAATCTGTTAGTGTTTATGTGTTTGTGTTAATGTGTTAGTGTTAATGTGTTAGTGTTAATGTGTTAGTGTTAATGTGCTAGTGTTAATGTGTTAGTGTTAATGTGTTAGTGTTAATGTGTTAGTGTTAATATATAATTTTTCTTGACCTCGTTTTGACCTAAAATCTATCTTTATTCTTTTTAAAGCCGAAAAAGACCTTTCGTTCGAAGCATTATAAATTGGTATCTAAATTTGAAGTAAAGTTAAAATATTGGAGAACGTATTGTTTAAATTTTTACCTAATTTATATTTTTTAATTGCTATGGGATCCAGACTCCTCCGGGCCCCTCTGGGGACCGAGCCCCTGAGCACCCGCCCCAAGCGCCCAGAGGATAAACCGGGACTGAGTGAGAGAGGAGTAGAAACGCGGAGAGGGAAATATAGGCATCACGCAGCTCCACACATTAAACTTTATCGACGAATTTTTGTTATTTCGGCTTGCGGAAATCGTCATATTATATATTTTTCATTATCCTTGAATTATTTCCTTCAAAATAAAAAAAATAAGCTACGCTCGAGAATGTCGAGATGACGTTTTTTTCTACAACTTTGCTATCCTCCCCTTTCTTTACGTCACTCTCAAATTGTCAGATTAGTGGAATATATACTTTTTAGCATGTAATTAACTCACCCTATCTTAATCTGACGCGCTAGAGAATTTCTGATGATCAATTGTTTTTTACTAATCTGATCCTTTATCCTTCACGGGCGGCTTTATATATGGGGCTCATATTTGGTGGATGTACTTAACCGGTTACAAGGTATCCCCCTGTATATTAATCTGCCGCGCTTTAGTAAATCCCGAAATCCCCGCTTGGGCTCCCCTAGTATAATGGTGTCGTAATATTATATATCAGTAAGTACCTTACCTACCTGATAATAATTTAAAATAGAATAGATATATTATTGTTTATAAAATAACGGAACCCATTTTATTGAATAGTTTTTGTAAATAAAATTTCAGATATTTTTATAAATGACTGTTTCAATTTCCGAAGTAATTTCACTATTCTCATATATTATTTGAAAACTAAATCAAAATAATAGATTTTGGTTTATACTCGTGTGGTAGGATTGCATTTTTTAAGTTTTAAGGTAGGGATTGCCATTTGATTTTTTTCAATAAGGGTTGGGGCGCGTTAAAAGGGAAAACTGCGTGTTTTTTGTTTTTCTAAATTTGCATAAAATCAAAAGTTATTTTGACTGGTATGTTTTGAAATGAAAGCGGATAATAAATAATATCTACCTGTTACTAAAAATAATCCTTTCACTTTTAAAAGATTTTTCCCAAATCAAAACTCTTCTCTAGCCTGGATGTGTGTGAAGAGAAAACAGTGTTCTGGAGCCGTAACAACTTCGAGCCAGTAAGTATTTTTATTTTTATTGTAGTATGTGCAATTTTAACAAATAGGTAACTGTGTCCTTAATATTTTTCACAATTTTTGTTATAATTGTAATATTTTATTTTGTAATTTTTTATTTTCAATACTTTGCAGGCAATTTAAAAAAATCACCTTTAAACGCCAATGCCTTTTTATGCACTATATAGACCTAATGAAGAAATTAAACTATTATTATTAATAAATTCAAGAATCAATATTTTTTTATAAAAAAATGCAAATTTCCACTATATTGCAAATAAAATAGTTAGCCATCAATCTAGAATTGTTTCTCAAAGCTGAATTTGTTTTGCGAAACAATTGTAGATTGATTCAAGTAAGTATTTTACCTGTAATATAAATAGTGGAGTTTTGTGTAGGAAGGTAAAGACTTCTTGCCAACTTTAATAAAAATCAAAGTCTTAATTATAAAACTGTATAAAGAATGCATTAGCGTTTCGATTTATTCCAAAATCATCATCAAAAACAATTGACATGGCTTGTTTACGATTATTTAAGTGATATCAATGTGACTTTCTTACAAATAATGTTAAATTTTAAATTTCAATTATGCTTTTAATTATTATGTTTTTGACGATGATTTTGGAAATGATGCATCGAAACGTTAATGAATTTTGTGTAGATTTTTGTAAAAATATTTCATTTAAGATAAATAGATTCCACAAAGTGAGTATCATCTATTATTATGATTCAATAATTTTCTGGTATAATGGTTCATAGAGCTAAGACAATGTATTTTTGTTGTTAGAGGGGCGAGATTGTACGGACATCAGCCCACAACTGTGTACCGAATGTCGCCAAAAACCAAGTGAGTCTATGTTTAGACAAGGCAAGAAAGAGAGCTCGAGAGGAAACAACAGCAATGTTCAAGATTTTCACTGAGGAGATAGCGCCATTAATGTATGCTGGGCTTGAATTTGTTACTGAAATACCAAATTTCAAACTTAAGCTTTGTTCCAGCGTCCAATGTGCTGATTAGATTTTGGGCCGTGTCGGAACATCTGGGGGGGTACTTTATAGGTGGTCATTTTTATATTTTATGGAATATTTATTATTTACGTTTGGGGAAGAAAATTCTTCAAATAAAAGTTACTTCTTATATTATTATCTAAAATTTTTATTCTATACAAAATTTTCCTAAAATGGTCCGTATTCGAGAAATTTGACAAAATGTAAAAAAATATTTTTTTATAAAAATTGTTCTAACAAAAGTTGTTTGTAATATAATTCTCTATAATTTTTATCCTATACATAATTTCTCTAAAAAGGACCGTATTCGAGATATTTGAGAAAATGTGTAAATTTTGAAATTTGAAGAAAACTCAAAAACGGATAAAGAAAAAAAACATTAAATTTTAAACTTAAGTTTTATTTCGGCCTGACGTGAAATGATTAGATTTTGGACAAAGTCGGAACATCTGGGAGGGTACTTTATAGGGGGCCGTTTTTATATTTTATGGAATATATGTTATTTATGTTTGGAGAAAAAAATTGTTTGAATAAAAATTATTTCTAATATTATTATCTATAATTTTTGCTTTATGTCAAAATTTCCTGAAATGGTCCGTATTCGAGAAATTTGACAAAATGTGCAAAATTCTGATTTTTATGAAAATTGTTGAAATAAAAGTTGTTTGCGATATCGATCTCTATAATTTTTATTTATACATGATTTTTCTAAAATGGACCGTAATGGAAAACTTGTAGAAAAAGTGCTAAATTTAAATTTTTCAGTATTGTCATTTTCAATGAATATCTATAGAAAAATGTAGATGTATGTGGAAAATATAAATATTTATTTTATCCTCTAAACATTTATGGAGGTGCTACAAAATAACCGGAAAAAGCCTGTAATAACTAGATAGGAAAGTCATGTGTTGGACACATCAGATTGTTTTTTGAAGTGTTGAGATATTTAGTTAAAGCATGAATTACAAATAACAATATAACTTTCATTATCCCTTTCTTGTTCTATAGTAAAAATGTACACCAACTTTTTATTAATTTATTTCCAAAAGTAACACGTTACTTTTAAAGTAACTCCTTACTTTTGCAGTCACATGTTACTTTTGCAGTCACGCGTTACTTTTTCAGTAACGCGTTACTTTAAAAGTAACGCGTTACTTTCGGAAAGTAACGAATAATTCAAAAAAAGTAACGGCAACGATTGTATAACGCATTACTTTGCATCATAAGTAACGATAAAGTAACGCGTTACTTTTTTTTTAGTAACGGTCCCAGGTCTGGTTTAGATGTGTAGCATTGAAATTGATAGAGTCATATCTAACTGGCAGATATCAGAGAGTATTAGTGAAAAAACAAGCTTCCAGCAAAACACATATTAAATGTGGTGTTCCCCAAGGGTCCTT